TCTTCTGTCTAGTTTGTCTATTTTTCATGATAAATCACCTGGCCATCGTTAAATTTAATGCATTACTTAATTTTTGAGATAGTTTGTCGACCATGACTACCGTTTCCGAGCAAAAAGTTTGGAAAATGGTCTGTTTGGAATGGGACTGCACTCTCGCCAAGTTTTTCTCCGCGATTACACAAGACACTGTTGAGAGAGAGAAAAACAATATTTTATCTAAATCTTCTGTCTAGTTTTTTTTTTTTTCATGATAAATCACCTGGCCACAGTTCAATTTAATGCATTACTTAATTTTTGAGATAGTTTGTCGTCCATGACCATCGTTTCCGAGCAAAAAGTGTGGAAAATGGTCTGTTTGGCCTGGGACTGCACTCTCGCCAACTTTTTCTCCGCGTTTAGACAAGGCACTGTTGAGGGAGAGAAAAACAATATTTTGTCTAAATCTTCTGTCTAGTTTGTCTATTTTTCATGATAAATAACATGGCCACCGTTCAATTTAATGCATTACTTAATTTTTGAGATAGTTTGTCGACCATGACTATCGTTTCCGAGCAAAAAATGTGGAAATTGGTCTGTTTCGACTGGTACTGCACTCTCGCCAAGTTTTTCTCCGCGATTTCACAAGACACTGTTGAGGAAGAGAAAAACAATATTTTGCCTAAATCTTCTGTCTAGTTTGTATATTTTTTATGATTAATCACCTGGCCACCGTTCAATTTAATGCATTACCTAATTTTTGAGATAGTTTGTCGACCATGACTATCGTTTCCGAGCAAAAAATGTGGAAATTGGTCTGTTTCGACTGGTACTGCACTCTCGCCAAGTTTTTCTCCGCGATTTCACAAGACACTGTTGAGGGAGAGAAAAACAATATTTTGCCTAAATCTTCTGTCTAGTTTGTATATTTTTTATGATTAATCACCTGGCCACCGTTCAATTTAATGCATTACCTAATTTTTGAGATAGTTTGTCGACCATGACTATCGTTTCGTCTAGTTTGACTTTTTTTCATGATAAATCACCTGGCCACCGTTCAATTTTACTGCATTACTTAATTGTTGAGATAGTTTGTCGACCATGACTATCGTTTCCGAGCAAAAAGTGTGGAAAATGGTCTGTTGAGGCAGGGACTGCACTCTCGCCAAGTTTTTCAATATTTTGTCTAAATCTTCTGACTAGTTTGTCTTTTTTTCATGTTAAATCACATGGCCACCGTTCAATTTAATGCATTACTTAATTTTTGAGATAGTTGGTCGTCGATGAGTGGGGATATAAGTAGGAATTTTGCGAGATTTGAATTGCAAGAAAAAAAATGAGCAAGGTAGAAGAAAACAGAAAAAGTACGAAAGCCTGATATAATTGCTGATTGGCTATTAAATTAGAACTGAACAGGCAATATATTAAGTTTACTATTTTGATATTTTGTGTCCGTTCTGTGTCTTGTGTCTGTGTTTTCCCTACTACAATGTACATGTTTATATAGTTTGCTGTACTATTTTTAAACAAAATATCTGACTCGCAAACAAATTCTACAAACAAAAAGTATTCAGTGAAGACATTTTATTTCCAATTATATTTTTAAGTACCATAATATCCCTGTCCACTTCACCATTATCTCAAGTAGATGAATTATATATATTTTTTATTCTACAATTTAAGTAGCATTATTCACCAGGTTTGATAAAATTAATGTTTTGTTTTTACTATTTACAAATGCACTCAGAATTTCAGTTGGTAAGTTTATAATAAGCATTGCTCTTTGTACATTATCTTACAATTCATCATACACGATACTTTTTAAAACTTTTAAATACACCAACTGGGCCCAATTTCACAGCGCCGCTAAGCACACGATTATCTGCTAACAGAGCCTCTGTCTATTTCATGGAGACAGTAAGCATAAGCACAGCAAAAGGCACACTTACTCCAGAGGATAAATTTGCTTATTAAACTTAGTGACGTAACAATAGAAATCTCCATGCACGCGCGACCGTTAGCACTATTTCACGGCGTGGACGTGCTAAGGGTTAGCACATCTTTCTGCTATGCTAAACACACCTTTTCTGCTAACTGTTAAGCAGCGCCGTGAAATTGGGCCCAGGTGTTTAATTCAAGATAATATACAGTTTGTCAGAAAATAAGTGGACGGAGAAAAGAAGTGTTACATATTTTCTCCGTCAGAAGCAAATTCAGTGGGAAAAGTTACATGAATTACAGCCTCTGTTATATATTCAAATCTTTACAAAATTCCAAGAGCCAGTCTCTAAAAAATTGGACTAGTCCTGTGCTTGAAAATTAGTTGCTAATGGTTGACGTTCCCAACGGAGACATGTTTTTAGATTTGTTGGTTTTGTATCAGTTGCATGTCGACTGCATAAAGCATTATTTTACTGTCTTGTGCATCAAAATGTTTCAAAAAAACCCAGAATAATTTTTCACCCAGCTGAGAAGTTAAAGGCTGTCTTATGAAACTGAACATTAATAGTAAATGTGCTAAAATTCAGTCCATAATATGCAAACCCTTGTACGGTTTTGTGGATCACATGAACAGTTAAACAGGACACATTTTCTCCTTCCCAAGCACACAAATTTTAAAGGCATATACGTAGGATCATTGGCATTTATCCCAAAAGTTGACTAATGTTTTATCACAAAAGCTTACTTGGATTAAAGATCGTACTGGTACTAAAAACCCCATGAAATTATTCCGTCTGGCTTGCTGTCCTTTAGAAGAAATAAAGAAATGTAGGTGGCTTCCAACGATCAGTCAAATCGACTGATTTTTGGAAATAGAGATTGCCATGGATGAAATTTGTGATCAAAAGGTTGTGCATGTTTCTTTGTAAGTGTAAGATCAACTGAGCTGAAACTTCAACAGGTTAGGTTTTGAACATTCTTCCTTGGATTTTGAGAGGTGTTACTATTCGGAACACCCAAACAATCGTTTTATGAATGAACATTAAATGATCCAGTTCTGCCTTTAATAATGCACGCTGCATTCTGCCGTATATTTTTCAATATTGCCAAGAAACAACTTCAGTAAGCAACCAATTTTCAAGCAACAATACAGGAGGCCTGGACAAAATATTTTTTACAAAAAGACAATTTAATACAGATAAATATGTTTATAAGCCGACCCTGTGGTCATCAGAGTTAAACTCCCAACTGTACATGGAACAATAAAACAACATCCTCCAAAGATTTGTCCCTCAAACAACCACTGGAAGCATTAAAAACAGAGAACAGTTAGGAAGATAGAAATTGCTTGGTTTAAATAAAAAAAAAAAAAAAATTATTTAAAGAGTTTGTATGTGGGTCATTCTAGAAATATGCGTGTTCCGAGGTGTGACATTTTCTCTGTCCCTGTTACGTTTTAATTGGCCATTCAAGTATCATTAAGAATGACTTTAGTTTGTTGTGTAGGTAGTTTGCTATTCACAATCACTCTTGGAGGACGGCTGCATTAAGGAGTGCATCAGAATTATACAATCATAGATGTCAGATGTAACAGGGACAGGAACAAAAAGTGGACCCCAAATTTATAGAAATGATGTCATGGTTTCTAAAGTCGACTCCCATTGGCTGGCACGCAGGGTTACATAAATTTTGCATTCTACGATATATATATATATATCAGACGTTCGTACAGTGGCTCTGCGCTGGTAAATGTCTGATCCTCAGATACCGAGTAAACGCTGCTTACAAAATGACATTGTTGAAGAGAGAAACCCAGTATTAAACGTGATTTGCATGTAAACTTTTATCTTAATTCTTAATGTCAGTTTGTAGGCCTACAGCTAATAGGATCTATTTACATACACAGTAGAAACCTGTGCCATTGTACTCAAATATAGCTCATATAATAATTCAAAATTTGTTCAACATGTATAAAAATGTTGTGTACATTATGGGCACAGTGTACAATATGGTCTTTATGGATAAACAAATTGCGTACATCACAAATCTCTCCATAGTCTTGGCTCAAGACTGGATTTGGATTTCCCTTAAAGCTATAGTCCATCATTTGCAGCCATCCGAAAAGTAACTGGCGTAATTATTGTTGAAAAACATACTTGGTTGAAAGATAGTAATGGGATTAAACTCCCTGTGAAATTATTCTTTCTGGCAAGCTGTCATTTTGAAGTAATCAACGAAAGAAGGCCTTTCCAACGGTGCGTCTTAAGACGCACCGTAGGAAAATTTAAATTAATAGTTCGTTTTGTTATTCGGCGAAGCGCGCGCAAGCATTGGCACGATACACAGGCGCGCGCGGTTGCTATAATTCGTCAGATCAATGCGCGACATCGCGTATAGCTGCAATCGGCTCAGTGAGAACGCGTCTCGGACGCTGAATTCAAGCAATTCAAAACATGATTCAGCAACTTTTGATTTGAAATTGAGATCCTAGAATGCTGTTTTTCTCTGAATATACAGCTGAAGCTGAGCTGAAACTTCATCAGGTTAGTTGTTCAGTACCCTTCTTTAGATTTTGAACACTTTTGTTGCTTCAAACGAACAATATGCACAAATTACAAATGATGGACTATATCTTTAATGCAGCTGGTCTCTGCCACGTGTGACAAAGTCACCGTGGCAGTAAATGTTGCTATCAAAAAGATCAATCAAATCCAATTTTGGGAACTTCGGCAAGGCTACCTAGGAATTCCAAAGATACCTCAACTTGAGTATAGCGCGCAAAAAACGACGACTGAAATGTTATTATTGCTCTGCAATTCCTCTATGCTATAGAGTTTACTCTAATATCACGTCTACCTATTACTAAGACACTTTGTTTGCTTTGAGGTTGATCTTCCAAGTGCCAGACACAAATGAATATTGGCTGCTCAAACAACTTTGCCCTTACCGGTGAAAATGTATAGAAACCAATGTTAGGAGCTAGGGCATTCATTTTCAGAGCCATTGCATTTAAATTTCACAGTGCTCTGCAGTTTTCCTGACATTTAAATAAAAAACTGGTGGCGGTCACTGCAATTTGTTTCTATGACATGAGTGTCATTTACAAAGTGCCCTCACTTTTTTGTGCTTTTAAAAAGTGGCCTCTTCGAGGTAAAACGCTCGGTGCACATGGATTTTCCCACATGGATCCCACAAAAGTGCAAGTTTTTCCCAACCATGCAAAGAAGATCTATTTTAATATAAAAGTTTCATCCTTAAAGGATAATATTGTGATTATCGTAACTCCTAGTCTATGATATGAATACAAAAACAAATCTAAAATTTCAATTGATCAAGGCTTAATTTTTGTTTAAATTTCTGTACAATTTACAATGTACAGAACATGTACATGGAGAAAATAGAAGTATTCACAGAAGAAGAGGCAAATCTTGGTTTAGCGTCATCCACTAATATGTGAAATCTTTGACAGAAAGCCCTCATTTCTTGAAACAATTTTAAAGTGGCAGCTATGAAACTAATTACTCCAATGTGATATTGTTGTTGCGTACAAAATTTCAATCGGGTTTTCAAAATTTACAGAGTTAGCATCAAGTAAATATTGTGATTTTTGGGGGAATCCAGGGCCCATTTCCTGCCACCTTTCATCAGATTGTCACCGAGGAGTGCCGTTCCCTCGTCGGAGCAGCTGCGTTGCAGTTTCTTACGTCGTCGGGGAGGAGTTGGGTGGCACTGCAGTGTTCTGGCGGAGGGTAAAGAGGATCCTGTGCTGGAGTGCTGTTTCCGTGCCAACCGTGCATCTGCTACGCCAATTTCCGATTCGGTCTCACTGGCCTCTGACAGAGTTTCATACTCAGATTCCGACAGACTTGCTGTTTGGCTATTTGAGTTGCTGCTCTCCAAAGACACCTGATCCTGCTTCATCTTGAAGATGTCTTCGGCTGAATGAAGACGGATTGTCCTGACCTCCGAAATTGTCACAGGCTCTGCCCGCCACAGCTTTAATGCTGGGCCATGCTTGTCCCCGTCGGTCGCTTGGGCTGGTTTGAATTTTGGAGGCAGGCCATACCTTGATATGTGATCTTCATAGCTAGGTGGTCTCTTAGGGAGCTTTTCAGCGAGTGGGGTCCTTGTCAAGCTTGGGGGTAAAGAATTAGATTTCATGTAGGCTGTGGAATGATAAGGAAAATTGAGCAACCTCAGTGCACTGCTGTGTTTTGAGTAAGTGTCAGTTGAGCTGTTGGTCGAGTTAAAGTCAGATATGCACCCTTTGGGTGGTCTTGACAACCTGACTTTGGACAAGTGGCTTTTGTAGACTACCTCCCGATGGCTTGGATGATGCTGGCAATCACTGACTATCTGGCCGCCGAGTTGTTCAGGGTTTTCAGCAAACTCCTGCATTTCACTGAGATGTGTGTGTCTTGCAGCCGGCTTTAGCATAAATCTCTGATCCATGATAGATCGTAGGTTGGAGTTATTCCCTCTGGACCCGAGGCCATTGCCATCAGATCCGTTTCCAGGGTAAGCATTACCTCCTCGCCCCCAGTTTGACACCCTCTCTGTGAATGTGGTTTTTCTTGTGGAACGGGGCGGCCATGAAAGTCGTTTCTCATTTCTGTTACAAGACAGCTGGGATGACACTTTCAACCTGTGTGAAATGCCATCGGAGACGGGCTGTGAGTATGGCTTGGGTCCATCCGCCCTCCCTGAAAAACCCACAGGAGATCTCTGCGCTTCCCTTGAGACAACAAGAGGTAGATGGTTGGTTTCTGGGCTGCTGGGATGACAAACTGGATCATCTTGGTGAATGCTCTTCTGCCAACGTTGGACAAGTTCAGAGCGGAATTGCTGACACTCGCTGGGATCAAAGATATCCTCTAGTTTAAGAGGGGAGAGGCTGGTGGTGTCCTTGGATGATGGTGACGGTGTGTTGTTGGGTATGGATGTGAAGGACGGAACTTCCACGACTGTATCACTGGATGATGTAGAGGAGGTGATCGAGGATGAAGATGTGGAACTGGATGAGTCTTCAATATCGCCATCACTGCTGTCATCACTGTCTGTTCCATCATCATCAACGAGCCACTGTGGTTGCTTGACAACAGCTGTCTTGAAAGCGCTACCAGATTTCTCTCTGTGCTGTAGGCTTGTCTTGAGGGAAGCCCTCTGTATTTGCTGTTGTTTGTTAAGCTCCATTAACTTTGACAAGAGCTTCTCGTTGTTGTTCCTATCACTGATGGCTGATCTGGCATTTGTTTGTGCAAGATTTTGATTGCTGTTGATATTTTCAGGATCTCCGTGGTCTGCCTGAGAGGTCTGGCTCCCATTGGGTATTTGGTCTTGTTCTGTATTTGAGGGCATATGGTTATTTTGTAATCTGTTCAAACTTTGGGGGCTGCCTTTTGCTGGAATTTTCTCATTTGTATTCAAGTTGGCTGTGCTAACTATTGCTGACGATGTTGGATCTGTTGTTTTCATATCCTGAGAGGTATGTCTGTGCACGTCGGAGGATGTACAACTCTCATTTGTGATACCTATGTTGCTGGTGACATCATCGTGCGACACTGACGGCAAATCACTGTCACTTCTATTATCACTGCTTATTCTGCCTTTCTCATCTGTGGCATGAGAGTGATTGGTATCACTCTGAGTTGCACTGATCAGATCTGGGCTGCACACAGTGGTGTCAGAAGTGGGATTAAAATATTTGTCATTTGTTAATCCTGATTCAGCATTACAACATGTGATACTATCCGTATCATCATCAGTGAAACCACTTTGAGATTCATTCTCATGCTTGTCAAGCATGGCGTCAGACTTACAAACCAATGACGCAGTGATTGACACAGAACTTGTACACCTTTGACCTACGCAGACAGATACTTCTTCACTTGTCTTGGAAGCGACCTGCGAATCAACGCAAGGTTGCAAGAACTCGGCAGTGTCATCATAAATGATCCTGGATCGTCTCTCCACTGTGCCTCGTGTGAATGTGCCAAGCTGTGGGGAATTTGGTGTAAGAAGGGGGCTGCCAAGGGAACTGGAAGGACTTCTTGATGGGTTCAGATCGGGAGTAAGGTTTAGGATGGAAAGGGGAGGAGGTTTTTTAAGTCTTGAGAGGACTTCCTTTTGAAAGTTGGGCTCTTTGATAGCTTGCTGGGAAAGAGCATCATCTACTTTGCTAGAATTAGGGAGGAAAACATCGTCATTGTCTTCATCTGAGGAATCTCTCTTGTCTGTTGGGGTTTCTAAACCACTGGTACCACTATCAGCACAATCTGTTGAATCTGAGTGCTTTGATGTCTCACATGGTAATTTGGCATTTGCAGTTTCCTTCGCGTTGGATGTAGTGTCTGCAGACACACTCTCAGTGCCACAGCTGGGAGAGGCTTCTTTCAGCAGATCAGGACAGGGATCATAGCTCAGCTCAGGACTCAAACAGTCCTCAAAGACATCCTGGACAAACTGCTCATAGCTCAAAGTGCTGGCTATTGACTCCGTCTCTCCGCTCTCCGCATTGCGTTCCAATTCCTCCTCTGTCAACAAATCCACCATGAAGGATTGTTCCACAGAGGTGTAGCTCTCCTCTGACCACAGACTCACCTTCTGCTCTCTGACAGCCTCAAAGATTGTAGAGGATGGGATGCCCAGATCCAAGACAGCTGGAAGGTCATCAACTGAGATGGAGAAAGTCCCATCAGCCTCCAGCCGGGATTGGATTGGAGAATCTAAGATCTTATCAAGAGCGGTGTCGGTGCAAGTAAGGGCAAGCTCTAAATAAGGTTCCGAAAACTCTTCTGTAAAATTAAAGAAAAAGAAAAAAGACAAAGAGAGAGAAAACAAGATTATTTTCATCTGACAGGACCACTGTTGTATTTTTTAAACAAAATGAAGTCATATAAATTTGCCAAATGTAATTCTTTTTACCACAAAAACTTGCATCAACCAAGGACTCAATATTTCATGCTCATTTAATATAAACTTACAATTGATGGTTACAAAACAGCACACATACTTCAGCCAAAACTTTAACATGCGATTTTTAGGACAGGTGACACATACACACCGTCACAAGCCCGTTGGGAAAACCAACCAATTGGAAGAACCACCAATGCACAAATTGGGAGACAAAACTACATAACACAATATAACACTTACATGTATCTAAGCCAACAACAACGGAAAAGACAGGAAAAAAAATTGTACAATAGTGTGAATAAAATGAGGTAGAAGGTCCAATTTCATGTTGCTCATAACAACTTTAAACATCACCGGCAAAACAAATACTGTACATAAGACTTTGAATTTGTGGGTATTAAAATAAGTGCATGACCATCGTTATTTAAGCAAGTTCCTGAAATTGGGCCCATATTTCAATACGTGTATCTCAGCCATTTTCAAACAATACGTGTGTATGTCCAACAAATGTGCAGTTACAACACTATCCATGCCACACCCTGAAGTACAGCTGCAGTTTGCCCCACCCCACCTTGCTTTTCAAACAACTATCACACACACGCCAAGTCACGAGTAAACTTGTGTAGTTACCATTGTACATGTGAGGCAAGACAGGGAAATTGTAGGGCTGTCCCGAATATTTGAATACTTGATCATCAAAAGAATATTCGAATAGCTTTTTGCCAGTTCGAATGTTAGAAACAAAATAAGAACTGTGCACATACACACACAACTGTGATGTTATTTTAGTCGTAAAGTTGCTGCGCTTTATTGTCAGACGCCACTTTTTTGTCGACAGTAACTTAGCAGGTTAAAACCCTTGACAGTTATAACATACTTAAGCCAACACGCAAAAGCAATGAAGCGAAGTTCAAGCTTCAACAATGGTGGACGCGCTTCGAACGTATTATTGACGTCACAAATTTCACTTCACTTTCGTGTGAAGTATGAACCGGGCTTCAGGCCTGCTGCAAAACACTCTAGTGGCCCACAATATCAACGCAGCGTACAACTTTTGACCGGCGCGGCACTCTGCTGCAGCTAGCAAATGTAAAACTTGATCAACGAATATTCAAATATTCGGTCAAATGCAGTTTCGAATAAACGAATAATAACGTATTCGGAAATGGACAGCCCTAGGAAATTGTTTGCACACTCAAGACTCATTCCAATCTTAAAGTTAAGGAAAAAAAAACACAGAGAGTTGTGTAGTGTTTACCTTTACTGTTGTCCTACATGTGGGTTAAGGATTAGACAAGATACAAGGAAAGAAGGAAAGTGAATATTTAATGAACTAAAAAGTCTGGTAATTGTTTCTACTTTCATAAATAGATTTTTTTATTGTTACACCAAATGTCACAAACCAATATGTGATTTTTTTTTTGGGGGGGGGGGAACTAATAATGGATTTGAAAAATGTTGAGACTTTGAGGGAAAATACCACATGCAGAGATGATGAGGAATACATTTATTATCTTCTCCTTGACCAAAAAAAGCAGGAAATTAAATACGATGGAAGGAAATCAAAAATCTGACTCTGCAAAACTATCTGAAGTCTTAAAGGCCTGCTCTGACTTTCAAAAAACTTAATTCAATTGTTTACGTCCTGAAATTAGTTTTGCTTTTGCTTCCACATTTAGTACGAATCGACCTCAAGTACAATGTTCCGAATAGAAATTTTGTTAATTATAGAGCTTTGGCTAATAGTTCATCTTCAGACGCCGCAAAAGCAGTCGTCCCCTGTAAGGAACAAATGGTCTATCTAGTTCCTTGGCTGACCAGAAAACAATTTGGTACAGCTCTGAAGACACAGGCTGCTTTGTCACATAAAAAATGGCTGAATATCCCTTTCGGGCCTGTATCCTAATCATGTAAGCCAGTGTTTGAAGGACAAAATGCATGTGCAATGTTTCGAACACATGGCACAGAATATAAACGTGGCCAATTTTCATCTGAATGTGTACAAGTCTATAGCGTCTTTACTTCGGAACACAGTGATAACTGTTTATGGCTGCAATGGTGTCCTATAATCTGTCTCTCTTCTCCAACCTGGTGGGGAACTTGTGCAAACTCACAGGATTAACAATGGGGGAGTCAGGTTGGCGTAGCGGTACTTTCCTTGCCTTCCATTGCTGTGACCCGGGTTCGAATCCTGCCTGGGCGAATTTATGGATTGGGTTTTCAGTCCCTGCCTGATGATTCTGTGGGTTTCCCTAGAATATCATTCTGGGGTTTTCCTCCCACCACTAAAACTGTAATATCCTTCCACGTCTTCTACTAATTAAGGGACCCCACTGGAAATAAGTCTTTCCAAAGACCAAAGACTTTCGAAATCTTGACTTTTGTGGGCTGTCCTGGCCGTGAATTATTTTCTTCCCAAATGAGATCCGACAGTGTCAAAAGAAGGCACTCTCTCTCTCTGCGTTTTGCACATTCATTATGTCCAGGGCTTAAGAGAATAAGTTATATAACAAGGAATACTGGTGTTTAAATCACCGACGAATGGCAGCTGATTCATAGACTGTTAATTTAGAAGTAGTCCTGACTTCTTATCAGGTGATCCGAGTTTGAATCCCAGTGAGCGTTTTCACTTCTTCTCATTTTACCTTTTAAATAACTAATGTAACGAAGGACCTTTTCTTACAAGACTTTGTAAAGCCTTTCTTGGGTTTGTGTTGCGGAGAGCAAGGCATTGGATATGCATGTAATGGACCAATCAGAAGATGGGAAACGGATGTCATTTGTGAAAAAACAATTCGCGTCCTGGCCAACTGCTGAATAATCATAAATAAATAAGCAGAAAGCGAAAAAGCAAGAGTGCAGAAATTTAACTGACCTCCCCCGGGTCTCAACTCGCCCGCGCTTCCAGTCATCACGTGACCCTCCTCGTAGCTCCGCCGCTTCATCCTGGTACCCGGCGCGGGCAGCGGGGACAGCTCCCGTGGTGGCAGGGCGGCCATGCTGTGCCGGCGCCGCATGTTCAGCTTCTGGACCAGGCCCAGGGAAGACTTGCGGCGGGGGGACTGGCGGTGGTGGGTGGGGGAGGAGAGGGGGGAGTAATCCAGCTCCACGGATTTAGTGCGGCACTGGGAGCCCCGAGGTTTGAACCGGGCCGTGTTGTTCACCTGAAAACACAAAAGCCTTGAGTTATTTCATGATGCTGCTACATACACGATTTTCTGCTAAAAGCACCTCTGCGTACATTTGTATTTCAAGGAGGCCACAGGCAGAATGAATTCCAAAGAGAATGCTATTAATATTAATGGTAGAATTTGAATTTGCTTAAAGCTATAGTCCATCATTTGCAGCCATCCGAAAAGTAACTGGCGTAATTATTGTTGAAAAACATACTTGGTTGAAAGATAGCAAGGGAACTAAACTCCCTGTAAAATTATTCTTTCTGGGAAGCTGTCATTTTGAAGTAATCAACGAAAGAAGGCATTTCCAACGGTGATTCTTAAGAAGCACCGTAGGAAAATTTAAATTAGTAGTTCGTTTTGTTATTCAGCGCAGCGCGCACAAATATTGGAACGACGCACACGCGCGCGCAGTTGTTATAATTCGTCGGATCAGTGCGCTACGTCGCGTATAGCTGCAATTCAAAACAATTCAAAACATGATTCAGTAACTTTTGATTTGAAATTGAGATCTTAGAATGCTGTTTTTCTCGGAATGTACAGCTGAAGCTTAGCTGAAACTTCATCAGGTTAGTTGCTCAGTATCCTTCATTAGATTTTGAACTCTTTTGTTGCTTCAAACGAACAAAATGCACAAATTACAAATGATGGACTGTAGCTTTAAACTGGTAATGCAACAATAGAAATCTCCTTGTGTATGCAAGTGCTACCATGTTTCTTGATAGCATAACTTTTCTGCCATAGATTTTGTTTCTGCTTACTATTGAACATCACCATATTTCCGGCCCATTTGGGCCAAAAGATTCTTCTGTAATTGTTATGCTGACAGAAAGCCATAGAAACAACATATTTAGGGCAGTAATTGTTTAATTCATTTTCGTGGGGGAAAAAACATCCAAACCTGTTTTAGGATAATTCATGCTAGGAAGTCATCAGGTTTTGATATTTTTGACTTTTTTAAAACCCATTGATGCAAGTGTTTAGTTTTGATTGTGAAAGTGAGAAAATGACATTTTCGATTGGTTTGAATGTTTTTTGGGGGAGGAGGGGGAGTTTTTAATTTTTGTACCTTATTTGTACTTTGTTTGCAATAAAAAGGCAGAAATTGGTTAGATGAATTTCAAAGTTTGCTCGTACCCATGAGTTGTAGTCTTCCACAGTTACATGCACAAAGAGTGTCGCCTGGTCCAAGCCCTCCAGATGAACGTGACGGTAACCTAAAATAGATCAAAATGTTGCAAAAATAGATCTAGATTGGCTATAGGGGAATATTAACATGCACAGTTTAATTGATGAACTGCTCCCAACGGGAATGTACAAGACCCATTAAAATGGGGTTCCAACTTCGAACAGGTTAAGCTTCATAGGTAAGAATAACCCATTAAAATACTTTATCAAGGAAAAACAACTGTTGGACAATATGCTTAGTATGTTACATGCTATAATCTAAGTTGATGCATCGCACAAAGCTGAACTTTTCAATCATGTTCTGTTAGCAAAATGTGGAGCATGTTTGGCAAAGACATTCCATCACATTCTTGCCAAGGGCAGATCAAGGGGGACCAAAGGGGGCCATGGGCCCCCCCCCCCCCCAAACGAATCCAATTTGTCTTTTTTAAGTGACTTCGCAATAAAGGCAGGCAATGAGTAAACCACCATCTTTTACTAAAAAAACATGGGTTAAAGTGGTCAGAAATTGCGTCAGATCGCACCACAGAGCATCTAGAATCCAACAATTTTTCGGGGCCCGAACCCCATGCCTTTTTTTTTTTTGACACACTTTTTGGGGACCAAATTTTGTTGGCCTCCCCCCCCCCAAAAAAAAAAATTGTGTTCTGGATCCGCCCTTGATTCTTGCTTGCCAATTATTGACAATGATAGCATTTTGCTGAACCCTGCGACCCACCTGGCATAAGGCTGGCGACAGGGAAGGTTGCCTGACCAATGAAGTCCCTGCCGATGGGATCCTCGTCCCAGACAGCGAATCGGATCAACGCCGTCTCCAGCAGGTGTATCGTGAACGTCATGGTGCAGTCCCAAAAGGGATTAAAACCTGTGCAAATGGAACATTTTGGAAACAAAATGGTGCAGTTGTATTTCCAAACACTTTGGCGGCATTCTTATTATGCGGACAATGTTAAAGTTAAACAATAATGGCAACATTTGCGCAAGTGTTGCGATTTGCATAAGAATGGTAATTAAAATTATTATAATAAAAGTTCTATAATAGTATGGAATAAACCCGAACCAGAGCCAGATATAAATTTTGCTTTACTCCTTACCATTATCCTGAATAGTTTTGGTTTGTGACTTGGCACAGTCCACTGGCAAGCCAATGACCTCTGCTTCCACGTATGGATCAATTATCTGAAATAAAAAAAAAAGTATAAAATTGTGATTAAGTAACATAGTCACTATGCAAATTGTGACAACCAACCGTAGAGAATGCTTGTTTGCAATTTTGAATTTTTCAGTTTCCAGATGATGCTGTGACAATTAGTCCATTAAAGTATAGTCCCTGTACCGCCCAATAAACTGCCCTTTGTAATAAGGGAATAAATGTAAGCTTGGTCAGTTTTAAACACTCTGTTTAAGACCGGTTGGAGTCTGGATGCTGATATTTACCCGAGCCGACCACAGCCGCTTACTGTCTCGCCATGGCAAGTTACTATCTTGAGAGAAAGCGACTGCTAGGACAAGATTGTAACTCTCCGCTAACTTGACGCAGCAAGATAGTAACTTTCCTTAGCGAGATGGTAACTTGCTGCGGCAAGATAGTAACTTCCCTTGGTGAGATAGTAACTTTCCTTAGCTAGATAGTAACTTGCTGCAGCAAGATAGTAACTTTCCTTGGCGAGATAGTAACTTGCTGCAGCAAGATGGTAACTTTCCTTGGCGAGATAGTAACTTGCTGCGGCAAGATAGTAACTTTCCTTGGAGTGATAATAACTTGCTGCAGCAAGACACTAACTTTCCTTGGCAAGACAGTAGATTGCTGCGGCAAGATAGTAACTTTCCTTGGCGTGATAGTAACCTGCTGCAGCAAGATACTAACTTTCCTTGGCAGGATAGTAACTTGCTGCAGCAAGATACCAATTTGGAAATGTTCTTATTGCCTGTATGTGGCCTTTCTAGTGTCTCTAGGCTTCGGTATGAAACACAAAAAGTGGACAATATAAACAAAAATCTAACTTAACATACTTCTCCTCTTTCTCCGAGCAAGCTCTGTGGAGGTTTTGGAAGTTGCTGCCCACTGATAATGTGCAAAGTGAGTTGTTTCTTTGGAAGATGGGGAACTGGGTCACCACTGTTGGGGTCAAACGGCTTGTGCTCTGAGAAACAGTACATAGAAATCTTGGCTCAAATTAGGCAAAAACAGCACTAGGCCAACTTTGATAAAGAGAGAAAGGATGGCATCCTTTCTGGAACATATACAGTGTACCAGAAATAACAATCTGAACATGTTAATGAATATAAGGAAAGTTATTGTTACGGGAAATGGTACATTAAGGAGACATTCCCATATGGTTGTGCACAATATTTTTCCAACTTTAATGACCCCGAACCCCAATTTTGTCTTGTCCTACCCCCACAAATGTTGGTATATTTTTGTTTAAGACCACGAGCAACCGATCTAGCCTATTTGCAACACTAAAGCTTTGCATCTAAATAGGAGTTGTGACATTAGGGAGAATTGAAAATAATTTTAAAAGCTATCTTATGCAATAATTTTCCATCACAAGTCTATCACAAGCGTCTTGTCACAAATCAAGTAACATGCATGCTCTGAATTTAGTTAAGTGTAACAAACGCGTCCTCATCTCCTGTTTATTGTGGCGTGTCTTCTAATTTGATTCCAGATCGACTTGTGACCGACTTGATCACTATTTTTCAAATCTAAGTGAAGTCTTAATCAAGAAAACTTGATCAGTACAAAAATAAGTTTCTTGAAGAAAGTAGCTATATAATGTACACGTAAGCAAGGGCGGGTCCAGAGAGGTTACTACCGGTGGGGCAGAGGGTGTGCCAAGGGAGGGGGGGGATGCACAACTGGTAAATAATGTAATTAATGTAAGTTTCTTACCATCACATAATAGAGAATGTTTCAGTGCGTATCCACAATTTCCGTTCAGACTAAACTTTGCCCTGCTGAGTTGCATTGGTCGTCCCTCCGTTTGGTAGTTCAGCGCAACTATGGGAAAAAAGTTTGAAGTAATAAGACATTTTTAAAGCTCATAACAAGTAGAGTTCAAGGATAGTGTAAATACTGATTAAAAAAACAGTAATAATTTGTTAGGAACGGCATGAAAGGAAAACTTTTTGGGGAAAACCCATGGAATCAGGTAGGGACTGAAAGCCAAATCTATATATGGACCTGAGCGGCAATCAAACTTGGGACATAGAGCTGGAAGACAAGGAGAGTTCTACTGCTCTGACCAGTGCTTCACAAATGTGATGCGATCAAGCTAAATGAGTCGTTTGTCGGGGAATTTTTATTTACTATAAGGCCAAAATAGGGCCACTTCATCACATCTCCTGGTATTCCAACTTCCATAATTTTTGAACTAAAGATGGTACCAGCATGCGGTTTTCACAGCAGTAATGCTGAGATTGTGCTATTTTTAAATCTGTAATAATTTTTTTTTTTGACTAGGATCGACAAACGACTTGTAGCTTGATCGCACCACAAAGAAATTCTAGAGGATAACCATTAAGGACCTAAATTATAAAATTTGCGGGTGACACCATGTGTAAAGATATCTCTTGTTGTGGTTCTGAAAAGACCCGGTTGGTTGAGTGTAGAACTCGACGTTTTGGACAGTGTGCTCTGTCCTTCCTCAGGAGGTTGAGATACAGGACCTCCTAGCCCACCCAGCACTCACCCAGTTGGCAACCGCAGTTCCACATGGGCTGTGGGTTGTAGTTACTGGAGTCTATCCGATATGCCGAGGGGTAGACGCGGCACAGGTGGCTGGCGGTAAACTGAGCGAAGTCCGGTGCCTTGGTGGCCACCAAATTACTGGCTCGCATCTCTCCCAGCGACGGCAGCTCCCACGATGCCACTGTTTCAAGCGACACAAAGAAATTGAAGTTATGTAAGAGGGTAAAATTAGGTGGTTTTCAAGTTATTGATTACAACAAAAGTTTGATTTAATGGCATTATATGATTGTTTGCATTCATCCCAAAAGTAACCTTCCGAATTATTGTCAAAAATCTGGAGACAAACAAAATGCACAAAACGTAAATGGTGCTATTAAAAACTTGACAACTGTCTAGCCCACTCGATGATTTCTGTCTACGTTTGAAAGTACAACAATGGGGTACAAGTGAATTTAACAGCTTACACATGCGCTTGCATAACTTTGAAGGAATCTGTGTACAAACCTCCTTGGCATTAGAATTGTGAACACTTTTGTTGTGGTGCACGGTTCCTAGCGCAAGTGGTTTACCCAACACTGAACTTCTATCCGGAGATCATATCAGTGCAACTCAAGCATTCAGATGTAGCAGGTGAGCGCAGTGCGTACTTCGCATATGTGGCGCGGAGCATGGATCTCATGACCTGTTTTAAAAACTTCCAAGCTCACATCCAACAGGAGTAGATACACTGTCTAAGGGATTTATGAATGGTTGTTAAAACCATCAAAGCTTTTGGCAATTTGGTCCAACTTTGTATTTATCAAATTTATTTAACAAATAAAATTTGGATCACCTACTTGTTGATTTGAAGCCTCGGAAACCCACGGATCGGGTGAGCTGCACCAGCTCGGACAGCTGCCGGCACAGCACCATGGATTTGCCCTTATGGCTCCGGCCAGTGTGCAGTGGACTTGGCAACTTGGGGTTAACGGTGCTAGACTGGTCCCCGGTCGTTTCCTCATCTGTGGCTGATTTCTCCAAGAGATCCAGACTGCCCCCCTCGGATGACTCGGATGATGACTGGGACTTCGGTTTCTTCTAACAAATGAAAAGAGGAAAATAGGATGTTACTTTTGGAAAATTTTAAAACACTGATTGTCCCTCAGATCTGCTTTGGCAAAATTAAACAGGCAGTAAACTCGAGGCTTACCTCCAGGTTTTACAAGGTACTACCAAAAACTGACCTTTGAAAGCTTGAGGCGTCGAAGGGTACCCGTCAAAGAGCTGGACCGAGCATGGTTTTTGGAGTTGGAATCCTTCTTCCTTGAATCTTCTCGGACCTAAAATTCACCAACGCACAAATCATAATAAAGAATGACTACTCACATCAGAAATAAAATAGTGCGCCTGCTCAGACTAACATCTTGGGAATTCTGTAGTAGCCGTTTAAGTTTTTCTTTATTTTCTCCCTAGGCTTTCCCAGGGAACCAATTAGCAATTGCGAAATGGCGCGCTTCTACATATACGTGCTACATGCTGTGATCAAGCATTGATAATTAGATATGCAACGCAGTTATAACCTCATGCGAGCGACTACCAGTATCAAATGGGCAGCCACCGTTATGTTCGAAGGTATTTATATTTACACCAATGGTCTAAGTTATATAAAATGGCCACCCCCCATTGCTGCAAATTTCCCAAGACCTTAGTGCGAGAAAATTAAACAAAAATTGTGCAAGGGCACTCTACAACTTAACAATGCAACCATTGCTATTGATCACTGACGTCTTGGGCATACTATGTTTAATACTAATTAAGACAATTAATGAATTTGAATAATAAGCCCCAGTTTTCCAAACACTTTGTTCAGTTCTCAACCATCTGTGTTACCATTTATTCCTTTAGTTCAAATTTTCGACCTAAACACAATTGGAAATTTGCAATTGTTTTCATTGTCACCAAAAGTGTAACTTCATGTTCATTACAAGATGGTAAAGATACTACGTAGTAAAGATGCCATCCGGTAGATGGTAAAGATACCAGATGGTAAAGATACCAGATGATAAATTGCTAAGGATTTTAACCTGATGAAAGCATTATAAATCTTGTCCACAGTTTTTACAATATTTACAGCTGACATTTTTGTAACACTACATCATGCAGGGAGCTCGGACAACTATTTCAGAGCAAATATCTAAATGACAGAAAAACATTAGCAGCTATACACACAATCATCTACATGTACACCAAAACAACATGCAATGTACCGGGAATGTTTCCACCAATATAAAACTTCAATCATCATAATTTTTTGATTTACAGATAGTTCTTGAAAATTCATGTTGAATTAAAGCAAAAAGTTGAATTTGAAGCAAATTTCCCCTAAACTGAGTCCTCAACAAAAGATATTTCTATGAAAATTGTTCGCCTTCTTCCCAATTTTTCTCCCACTAAAGAACAATTGTAGGGGTAAAATTTCACATGAGTAAACACTTGGTAAGAAAATCCACAAGGTGAACAAATTATACATGTGTTAACACAGACACAGTATATACATTTATGTAAACATGCAAAGTAATGGCCTTTTCATACTTTATGCAAATTAATGGTAAATGGATGCAAATTTGTTTTCTCAATACAGTATAATTTTAACGAATTAGCACCTGTACCACATTGTATTACATTGTATTTATTCACTGAAGAATCTATATAAAACAACAGAATGCTTGGGCGGTTTTGGGTGCACAGTGAGAAATAGGTAGGGAGGTTTGGGGTGGTACAGTACATTGATCAAAGGCTTGAAGGTACCGGGTAGAGTACATCATTTGTAATTTGTGATTTTTTTTTCGTTTGAAGCAATGAAAGTACTTAAAATCTAAAGAAGGGCGAGTCATGTTTTGAATTGCACCCGAAATCAGCGTCCGGGACACATTTTAATTCAGCTGATTGCAGCTATGCTTATAGCAACCGCGCCGTGTCAATGCTTGCACACACTCACTGACAGCCTCGCCGAATTAAAAACGAACTTCTGACGAAAATTTCCAAAAATGCATCATTAGACGCATCTTTGCATTATTGTTTTCTTCAAAATAACAGCATGCCAGAAAGAAGAATTTCACAGGGAGTTTAGTGACATTACTACCTTTAAACCAAGTATGTTTTTCAACAATAATTTGGTCTGTTACCTTTTGGTTAGCTGCAAATGATGTACTCTACCTTTAATGTATTTCAACGAGTGAATTTAATTTCATTGTGAATGCTTTTGTAACTGTTGCATTTGCATAAATTTGCATGAAGCATGAACTGGCCTACTGGGAGAGATATCAAAAGACTGGTAGGTATAGGCTTGTGGGAAATACCTTGGAGACGATGCGTTGCCATGCCGACCGCGTTGGCGTTATGGGTTTCTTCCTCATAAGCATAAGCTGGGCCATAGCGACCGATTCAAACTTTTTGGAGATGCTGCTTCGCTCAAGCTGGTAGCGGGGAACAGGAACAGGTGTAGGAGGGGGCGGAGACACAGATATGCCAAAAAAGGGGGTACCAAAAAGTGACATTTTCATGTTAATAAGGAGACAGAAGACAACACAACCTTAGAGTACGAGACAAGACACTACAAAACCCTCAAATGTGATTAGAGATGGGGAATGGCCAACTGGAGGAAATTTGTTAATGTATCAAAAATCAAAAGGTTTTTCAAGTTTTACTGTTATTCTCATGGGCAACTGCTGAAGTATCCCTCACTAGAAACTCAATAATCACACTTCGAATGGAAATAAAATTTAAAAGTTGGTATAAAAAATCATAAAACTTTTTTAGTTGTTCAGGTCCCAGTCACTCAAAAACAAATCCAGAACTATGATTGTTTTTTCTTTTAAAATTATGAGCATAGGCCTACTTTAAATTATAAATCATGGAACAAAATTCACCAATAAGCAATTAAAGCGGTTAAAGATAAATAAACGTTTTCATAAAACACATGAACTGAAGATTTTCGTCCAAAAGAAATATCCCTGTTACCAAAAGGACACTCCTGAAAACAACAAACAGCATTATGAGGGGACAATTATATTTATAACTTAACGTAAGTAACTTTCAAAGTTGCAATCTGTATAACACAAAATGAGAACCAACAAAAAAACAAAACAAAAACAAACACAACAACAACAACAAAAACAGGCCTGAAAATGGGCACACACAAAAAGTCAATATTCATGGCTTACGTGGGACTCATGCACTTATAGACGTTGTGTATCTTCAAAATAGAAATCCTCAACTGAACTTGTCAGTTACAGCATTTTAAAAATATATAAAAAAAAAGACAAACACTCACTCGTGTTATCCTTTAGTTATGAGGACCTCCTATTGTTTCCCTCTTTTGTTCCTATTGTTTGTACTCTTGCTTTAACTTTTTCTCAATATCTCCCATAAGGTTTGTACACAAAAAACCTCCCGAGGACTTGGCTCAGGTCCTCAGGGTTTTTGTTGTCAAAAATCCCCCATTGTCCCAAGTCCTCAGTCGTATAGGATTACAGGTTCAATATTAAAGACAGTTTCCTTTTTTGTTCCTATTATTTGTACTTTTTCTCAACATCTCCCATAAGGTTTGTACACGAAAACCTCCTGAGGACTTGGCTCAGGCCATCGGGGTAATTGGTGTCGAAAATCCCCCATTGTCTCAAGTCCTCAGTCGTATAGGGTAACAGGTTCAATAAGAAAGTTCCCTTACTTTTGTTTCTATTGTTTGTAATTTTTCTCAAGATCTCCCATAAGGTTTGTACACAAAAACCTCCCGAGGACTTGGCTCAGGTCCTCAGGGTTATTAATATCGCACACACCCCATTGTCCCAAGTCCTCAGTCGTAAAGGATAACAAGATCACACAAAACAGAAGAACAACTTTCTAGGCACTGACAGAGAAAGTCGACTTGAGGTGAGAAAGATTGGGAGACAAACAAGAGTAATATGTTAAAACAGTGTTAATGAGTACAGTAATTTACAGATTTACAACGGTTTACCAATTATTTTCTATACATTTGGATTAGTATAACTTTTGATGCAGGTTGTATGAATGGGGTTTACCACTGACTGTTTTTTTGTTAATATACATCAAAACATCTTGACGGGGTGTCCAACTCGAATACAAAAAAAAATCATATCCAGACAAACCTTGCTTAAATGTCTGTCAAGACTGCCATACATTGTTGGCTGTGTATGAGTTTGGCAAATTGTTAGAATGAGAAGAAGTAATAATAATTGACCAGCATTATTTAAGTTTAATTCAAAAACATTCCTTAATTGAATTAGAGATCACAATCTGCAAAAAAAAAAATGGATTCAGCAATTGATAGCCCAACTTGTATGTAATATATCACAGTTTTGAAGACGTTACAGAAAACCTAATAGCACAATTAAAGGGAATGTACATCATTGGTTTTTGCTGTAATTTTCAGAAATGCACTATTTGAGGGATTAGTATAATAGATCAGATATTGTTACACTAACATGTTGGAAGTTTTGTGTTCGAAAATGCTGGAAAAGGCAAGAAAAACAAAAATGTTCAAGTAGTCTGGTTCCCTGACTCCACTAAATATAAAATGGATCAATTTATAGATGCCGGAAAATTGTAAGGTAAGGGAACCACAAATTTTGACTGAACAAAAATGGTAAATTTGGAGCAGTAGTTGAAAAATAGTCAGGTTTTTCCAACGGTGGTCGGCCGACCACCGTTGGAAATGTATACAAAAATATAATTTTCTTGAAAATGACTTCACACCAGGTGCCATAATTTTACAGGATGCTTTAGACTGTCATTTACCAACATCCTAGTAAGGTATTTCGTAAAAACATGGTTGTTTTATTTTTCGATGTTTGCAAATGTTGTATATTCTCTTTAAAACAATGGTCCATTTTCTTCACAATACCTGTGTGTGACTGCTAATAATAAAGGACAGTAAAAACCAATGCATTACCAATGATTTTCAGTCTGTAATTTAAAAAGATCAATATATTTCATCACAAACACAGGAAACAGAGACTGAATTAAAGCTGTACAAAATATTAACTTAGCCTCTTGGTTTTTCCCCTTCAAAGACCCCCCCTTAAAAAACACTACACACACAAAAACCCTGTACAATGTTTGAAAGGTCTGATTTTTCTCAAGAAGAAGTGTTTCCAAACTTTTGTACTCTTTGCCATTTATGGAATTGGCATACACACAATACTTCTAGCTGAGCGCTACACCTCTGATCACTATTTTTTTTTTTATGAACCTGCCCAAAAACTTTCACTTTTCTCCCCATCACCGCAAAACATCTCGTTACATCTCACCTTGAGTTCATCGTCTAATTCGTCGGCGCTGTCCTCCTCACTCACTTCTCCCGCCTCCAGGTTCTCATTGTGATCCTGTGGTAATTTCTTGGCCTGTGGGTCAAATAAATGGGGAGTCTAATAGGACTTCTACCAACTAAGCAAGTAAATTTTGCAATTTAGAAAATTATGACTTGTGGGTTAAAGGGACGTAAAAATTGGTAATTACCTTGAAACGGACCTACAGATTTAACGAGAAAAACCTCGCTCAAAGTGAAGATGGGGATAGTACCAAATACCCTGTGAAATTACTCCCCCCGAAAGGGTACCATTCAAAGGAAAACAATCGTGGTTTTACAAAAGTGTCCTCACGAGCACACTTTTTTTTATTGAAATTGTTGAACAGAATCGTTGGAAATTTGTGAATTTTTGACCGAAAGGCATTTATAAACGGGAATAAACATGTGCTTGGCCGGTATTAAAGGGAATATACATCATTTGCTTTTGCTGTAATTTTCAGAAATGGATGGAATTGGGGGGTTGGAAATATATAGCAAATATAGTTACACCGACTTTTTTGAGGTTTTGGGTTCGAAAATGCTATAAAAACCAAGAAAAACAATCATTTTCCTGTAGTCTGGTTCCCTGACTCCATATAAGAAGAAACAGATCAGTTTACATACATTGGGGAATTGTAAGGTCAGGGAACCAGTCTAGCTGGCTTGTACCCGTTCATAGGTGTGTAATCGATTGCAAACAAGTGCGATGGTCAATTGGGGCCAGTATTTGAAGGATAAAACCAGATACAAAATACCACTTTTCTTGAAAATGACATTTTACCTGGTGACACGATTTTACAGGATGCTTTACACTGTCATCCACTAACAGTCCAGCAAGGTAATTCAAAATGATTTGGTAGTTTTATTTTTTGATGTTTGCAAATGTTGTATTTTCCCTTTAATACAGGCCAAGCGCATGTTTATTTCCTTATGCATAATGCTCAGTCTCATCTACTATGACTTGACAACCCAACTCAATGTAGCTATTCCCCATAAATGAATTGCCAATGAATCATCAACTACCATTATGCACTGTCATTTGGGTCCACTGCATGTCTCGGCCTCATGACAAAGTGAACTATGTAAAGCAAAGTTGTCTCCATTCCAAAAACTAAATGATCATGAGAAAATTATTTTGAGTGTTATAATTTCGTTCATTATAATACTTCCCAGGTCTGCATCGTGACTTTGGGCGTGATCCCTGGCTGCATGGCATATACGGGTTTATGGCTTCAGACTTGCGCCCCTTGAACAAAAACATTGACGGGAACAGCCAACATAGGGCTGGATGGCTCAGTTGGTAGAGCACCGGAACGGTAATCTGGAGGTCGCAGGTTCAAACCCCGCTCCAGTCAATTTCTTTATTCAACTTAAATCAGGCCGATTATTGTAATATGCCAAACTGAGCTTACTTTAAAAAACATAACAAAAATGCAGGCTGATCTTGCTAATCTGTTGGGTTTTTTTTTTTTTGGCATTTAAAATGAAACTGGAGATTTTTTTTCCTCCTTACGTACCTTGATGAGAATCTTTCCTTTCAATTCCTCTGGGGATGGTAAAGTTGTTCGGCTTGGGTCAATTGTGGGGACATGCAGCATTTCTGATGTTGAAAGGTTAAGGGCAAAATGGCAAAGACAGACCAAGAAAAACAGAAAGGCACAGTAATATCAAAAGCACACCGCCCCCCTTCCTTCTTAACAATTACACAGAAAACTGAATAAACAGCCATTATCATTTATGACATTCAAAAATCATCAATATCAAACTAAAGAAAACATATATTTTTAACAGTCCAATTATGGGAAGGGCACATATGTGAGGCGTTCTAGCAAAATGAAACAGAACTGGGCAGAGATCAAAATGAGGGTTTCTGAGTGGATTTCGGGGTAAGTATTTCATAGCAAAAATTTTCACACTGACCTGTTCAAAAATTTATGTTCATAAATGCTGGAAAAACCATGGGGGAAAAAAAATGCTATTCTTGTAGTCTGGTTCCCTGACCCTAATTCAGACGAAACGGAGCAATTTATAGATGTCGGGGAATTATTAATGCATCATTGTAGAAATGTTTTTATTTGTTCTGAAAAAAAATGACCCACATTTCCGGTGGCCTATCTGTATCCAGAAAATCCAGGAAGATTAAAAAAAAGTGAAGAAAGTCTCATTAATACAGTCCCCTGAAAGTTCTCGCCCCTTTAAAAGGCTGGTCAATTTATAACGCTGAGCTAATTAGAAACTTGATACCCACATGCTTGATTCTGCAGATGCTGTTATTGTCTGCTACTTTCAGACATGACAGTTAAAGGTACAGTCCATCATTTGTAATTTGTGCATTTCGTTAGAAGCAACCAAAGTGCTCAAAATCTAAAGAAAGGTGCTGAACAACTAACCTGATGAACTTTCAGCTCAGCTTCAGCTGTATATTTTGAGAAAAACAACATTCAAGGATCTAGATTTCAAATCTAAAGTTGCTGAATCGTGTTTTGAATTGGGCCTGAATTCAGCGTTCGAGACATGTTCTCACTGAGCTGATTGCAGCTACACGATGTCGCGCACTGATCCAACGAATTAAGGCAACCGCGCCACTGAATAAAAAAAAAAAAAACTAATGGAAATTTCCAACGGTGCGTCTTTAGACCTTCTTTCGTTGATATATTCAGAATGACAGCTTGCCAGAAAGAATAATTCGACAGGGAGTTTAGTCCCCTTTCTATATTTCAACCAAGTATGTGTTTCAACAATAATTACGTCAGTTACTTTTTGGATTGCTGCAAATGATGGACTGTAGCTTTAAATTTCACAACATCTCTGATTTTCAACTTTTCATTAAAAAAGAACGCCTACATATTTGTATGCCCCCTTGTGTGGCAATATATTCTGGGAAAATGTCATAAAGCAGTTAAGGTGCGAAAGCACGGGGGTGTTGGTGTCCCGCATCAAATATTAAGGCACACAAGGGCTTAATGTGTGGGTGGTGATTGCTTCCATGTATACAGAGTACCGGGGAGAACTGTGAAGAAGAAGATACATGTATGTATGAGACATGGAATCATCGTATTGACGATATCTACTCTTTTATACAGGGTGGATAAAAAAAACGAAACCGAGATATTATTGCTAATTGGAACAGAAGTAGTGCACATGTGAATCAAAGGGAGATATCCTCCATTAGGGTTGTATCTCCTCTTTAAAATGACACCCTGATCATGTCCTTACATTCACGGTTGACTGAGCAGTGACCAATTTCATGAAAGTGTATATTTAGAGACTTGCGCCACATTTCATGGTGAAATCTCTTTTTTTCCCCCACCTGCCTTGATTGGCAACCATAGCCTTTCACTCTGTGACAATTGACACAACAAAAAGCACAATTGAAAAGTGGCGCAATTCTCTAAATAGACCCTTTCATAAAGTTGATCCCTGCTCAGTCAACCGAGATTCAACCCTAACGGAAGATATCTTCCTTTGATTCACATGTGCCCTACTTCTGTTCCAATTAGCAATAATATCTCTGTTTCGTTTTTTTTTTATCCACCCTGTATACTTAAAATATACATTACAGCCAACACAAAAAAAAATCACATTTGTTTGGCATTTCACATAATTGGTTCTAATTAAACTGTTCTCAATTCTAAACCTGAGTTACACATATAACATACTCCAAAATTAAGGAACATCCCAGTATTTTAACTCTAATCTGGATCTTTCTTGTGTTTAATTGACTATCACATTAATAAACTAATTTCCTTTTTTTTCCAGTGAACAGCTTGTCAAATTTTGTGAACAATGAACATTTGTAAAACCTCCAAATTTCACTTTTTGCTCCAAATCTCTCATAAAATTGTATAATAATTTTTTATCTCACTCATGTTTTTCACTTCACAAAATAGTCAATGCTCTTTCCAAAAGGGACTGAAGTCCAGAACCCATCCTACATGTACATGTGCCGGTACGTTGTGAGAATTTACCATGGTTTGTGACATCTAAAAGGCATATTTCTCACATGAATGTTGGATGAGAATGTTCAATCCTTTGCACATGGTCATCTTGCGTGTTAGTATAAGGCTTAATGAGACATGAATAAATGATTCAAACTTCCCCCTTTGATGGAGGCAAGTGATGATGCTCCTGTGAGATATGTACCATACACGTCAGTCTACTGATTTGTATGGTAGGCTTTTTATGCACACCATTTGCTCTTCAATTCAATTCAATTCATTCAGTTTTATTTCAAAATTTCCAAATAAAATATGTAACTTAAGGCCCCCCCCCCCAAAAAAATTGGTCTCTGGTCAAACCGAAGTTCCGGAATTGACGCGGCCACAAGTTTTTTGGGGGGGGGGTTTTCTTTCTTTTTTTCTTCAAGCTTGGATTGTACAGACAAGGTGGGTACTATTTTGCTTTTTTGGTGTCCTCATGTACATTGGTGTCCTCCATAATTTGCCTTGGTGCTTTCGATCATTTGCCTTGGTGCAATTTCCCATTCCTTGGTGCTCTTTGGTAAAAAAAAATTGAGGAGGTGCGGAAATAGAGGGCGCTGTTGGAGCTACCGCGGAACATTTTGGAGAAAAAAAAGATTGACGCGCATGATTAAAATCGACGCGCGCGCTGACCAGAGACCGACTTATTTTTTTTTTTGGCCTAATAGTAGATAAACAAAACATAAAAGTAAAGAAAAAAGATACATGGAAAGCAAAGAAGTTATGAGGAAAATGTTAGAAGTCCACAGACTTATGAAGCATTGACTTGCAAAATCATGCTTCACAACGAAACACAAGACTATTTTTAGGGAAGGGGGCAAACTGATATTCGGTAGAAACTTTGAGACTTTAGAGACAATTTTCAGAAAATGAGCGCATGACTTAATTGCTACACAGAAAAAAATGTCATTAATTAAAAACACCTTTTTTAACTTTGGGGGCAGGAGGGGTTTTCTCCAGACCTGATAGGGCCAATTTGATAGCTCCGCTAACCACACAATTCCGCGCTTACAATCACCATTCACTGCCTTGAATGCCTTTAAGGCAGTGAATGGTGATTGGTGCTAGTAGATATAGTGGTGATATAGTGGTGATATAGTGGTGATATAGTGGTGATATAGTGATGATATAGTGGTGATATAGTGATGATATAGTGGTGATATGGTGATGATATAGTGGTGATATAGTGATGATATAGTGATGATATGGTGGTGATATGGTGATGATATAGTGGTGATATAGTGGTGATATATATTGCTAGTAGAATTAAAGTATATAGTATCCTGCGCTATTTCCACATTGTAACAAGTACTAAAAGCTATGTTTAGCTGATGGCTTGTGAGGGAGTTTTAATTTATTTCCAGGAAAAAAAAGGTATATATCTTTTTGGGGGGGGGGGGGGCTGGGCCATGGCCCACATTGCACCCCCCCCCCCCCCCCTCCACCTCGGATCTGCCAATGACCTGAAGCACAGAATTTTCTGCTACAGTAAGCGGGGATTTTTTTGTTAACGGTAAGCATAGTCATGAAATTGGGCCACGATTATATTGAAGCCGTGCCACCATTGAATCTTGTGCTCCTGAAACAGACCTGCAAAGTTTTACGCGACCAGGTTAAATGGTCTAACGCCCGTGAGTCTTATCGAATTACGGACGCCCCGATTGCCTGACAATTGAATCCAATGACTTTACGGCCTGTAAGAAACCTAATTATTGCCCCGGCTCCATCGACCGCTGGAGTGACCTCCATCAAGTAAACCTTGGCAAATGTAGACCACTGCACTGATTTTTTTTATACAAATGACTTTCTCACCACACGTGAAGGATGCAGACAAGAGGTATCACAAATCTTCAAGATCTCCTTGGGGACACGTACTATACTCTACAACGCTTCATTACTGGGTGTGGTAAAACTGGATTAATCTGAGTGCCCAGGTCTGATTATTAAATCAGCTCCAATGTATGTGGTCTGTAGAGTGCATGGCTCAATTAAATCTTCCCAAAGACACCCCCCCCCACCCTGATAATGAATCTATATCTAGAACTTTACAAGGGATGGCGAACACCCCTTACCAACTCCAAATGGGGGAGGGCAAGGGTGCATTCTCTCACACAAAATTTGTTATCTAGATTTTTGTTCTCCTTGCAGAATATCTGGAATACTTCGCTGAAAGCACTGGCCAGCTTAGCTCAGAGGTGCATAATTCGCCTTCCACCTCTGTGAGCAGGTTTCAAATCCCAACCCAAACTGTCGTAGGGATTCATCTGCCATATTCCATACCTGATTCCATAGGTGTCCTCCCATATTTGAAAGAGATTTATTTTAAATCTTCTTTCCATGGTTTTCTAACCACTTCACACCGGGATGATTTTTGTTGAAAGTTTTGATTTTCACAAAAGGCAAAATCTTCCAGCCAACTTCTGATATACAACCAAACGCCAAAAATACCGATTTGCAACAGTATTTGTACGATATTTCTTGCCGAAACCTCATATGTTTCAATACTCTGGGGTGTGCACTGGAGCGTAAATTGTACAACAATGCCGTGCACAACGGCCAATTCAAGATCAACACACGTTCTGCCCCAACAGACTTCATGGACTTAATGCGTGTGTACAAAAGACACGAGGGATTAGCATGACGGCAGTCTTGACGTTTCAACTTGTCTTCAGCCATGCCTGTGTACAACGACAGCCAGCGCATGTTATCACGTCCTCCGATGCAAACTTATAGCAAATAGGCCTATTGTTACACTGACCTGTATAAAATTTGTGTTGGAAAAACTATGCTGGAAAAACCAAGAAAAAAAAATTGCTGTTCTTGTAGTCTGGTTCCCTGACACTACTTCAGGGCAATTGTCAGGTCAGGGAACCAGACTAGCTGGCTTGCACCCATTTAAGGATGTGCAAACTGATTGCCAACAGAATCTGGACTAACTAAATTTGGTAAATTGGGGGCAGTATTTGAAAAAAGTCAGTATTTTTTTTCCCAATGATGGTTGGCCGACCGTCGTTGGAAATTGATACAAAAATGCCACTGTTCTTGAAAATGACAGCACACCAGGTGCCATGATTTCACGGTATGCTTGAGACTGTTATTCACTTACAATCAAGTAAGGTATTTCATAATAATTTGGTAGTTTTGTTTTTTGACGTTCGCAAATGTTGTATATTACCTTTAATCAAACTCATTGCAAAACTTTAAGAGTGAAATTTTTTTTGTAGCCCAGGGAAGTGCCTGATTTTGGCACGGGCTGTCACAGTCTGTTACAATTTTACAGTTAAAGGATACCTCCCAGTATTTCTACCAGGTACTGGGCCATCTTCTTCTGCTGCTCCAGGCTGCAGTGGTTCTCGATAGACAGGATGACTGGGTAGGGGCTGGTCACGAAGGCGTACTTACTGATGATGGAGATGACGTCACGGAATTTGATCTTGGAGGTCAGGGTGTAGCCGTGGTAGATGATGGGCTCACCGTCTTTGCCGTCCCAACAATCCACTGTGGGAATGACGCACAAAGGCCACAAACGTTTGACCAACAGAAAACTTACAAGGATTCCAACTACACTGATTATAATACTATGGAACACCGATATAACGAACATCGTGGGATCCACAGAAATTTTTCGTAATAGCGATTGTTCGGTATAGCGATTTTAAGCTGCTGGTGCTCCGGTACTCACTTTTCAATAAATAGCGCCCTTCATAACTTCACCCTGCACACCCTGGTAGTTACTGAAAGATGACTTTGAACAGTGCCGACTACTGAATTATGTAATTACACAGATTTTGAGCTTACTACCTACAGCAATGGGTGGCTTTCCCCTACTATTCCTCGGGGAAATAATAGCCACTTGTCGCTGTTCTGTTTACAATTTTCAACAAATGTTCGGTACGTTTTGTACACACAAATCGTGAGCCAGGCACGATGTTTGGTTTAGCCGAATGTTCGGTACAGTGGTGTTCGGTATAGCGACATTCCACTATAACTGTGGTCTAATCTTGGGGAAATGCTTTAGCAGAAAACGATCCTTAAAAAGGCAACTTAGTACAATTTTATTAATCGTTACTGGTGTTTATTCTTTGAGTTTAAGAGAAAACACCAGACACACAATTTCTAGGGCTGCACTTGTGTTACCGTGAGTTTACTCCCGAGTGCAGAAACGGCAAGAAGACGAGCCACAGGTGTAGGAGAGTGTACCCTCAATCAGTGCGGGAGTATACTCTTGCAAGATGGGGAATTAGGTAACCATTTCCAAATGTTTCCAAAGTTTAATGTCTTTTCTTATAAATTACTGTTTAATATGATAAACACAGAGAAATCAAAATCTGATGCACTTATTTCCACTTTAAAACTTTGTTCTTTTACACAAAATTACCTTCTGCTACTGCAGCAGCCATAATTGTGCAGGATTTATAACACATTAAACGTTTGAGCCATATGAAATGGATGCAATGTGTAGGGAACGTTTCCTTACTCTCAATAGTTCAGTGGAACGTCGCTATACTGAACACTGCTATACCGAACATTTGGATATACCGAACATCGTCCTTGGCTCCCGTACAAAACCAACCGAACATTGTTGTTGACAACCGTGAACAGAAGAGCGACAAGTGGCTATTATTTCCCCAAGGCATAGAAGGGGAAAGCCACCCATTGCTGTAGGTAGTAAGCTCAAAACTGTGTAGTTACATTATTCATTACAGTCGGCACGTGTTCGAAGTCGTCTTTCAGTAACTACCAGGGCGTGCAGGGGGAAGTTCTGAAGGGTACCATTTATTGAAAAGTGAGTACCGGAGCACCGGCAGCTTAAAATCGCTATACCGAACGATCGCTATTACGAAAATTTTCTGTGGATCCCGCGATGTTTGTTATAGTGGCGTTCCACTGTATAAGGACCCATACGAACGCAGCTTAGAATACTGCACTGGAGAAGAGTCAATCCATGTTTATAACTTGTTTCCCATCAGCACTCAGTGTAATAACAAAGATGCCTCTCTATCAAAAGTTACGAAGTGTTCTACTTGACTCATAAGTCTTTGTCTCATTGGAAACTCACTTTCGACACAGCGGCATCCGGCCTGCAAGACCAGAGCATAGACGTCCACGCTGGACTGCGACATCAGCTGATCTCCCACCAGATAGGTGTTGTGGGAGGAAGCTATGTAGTAATGGGTCAAAGGTCGGGTCATGTCCTGGTTGACCTCTCGATGGGCGGGGTTGAAGATGTCGCCCTCGTGGCTGAGCAGGAAGCGAGTGAAGCCTGCGGAGAATGTACACGGGGTTGAAATGCTTATGAATTTGGTGTCTCCACAGATACCCAGGGTGAAAATAATTCCCAAATATGATCGAGGCTTTGCCTCACCTGCTATTTCGGGGAGGCGGCCCCCGCCACCTGTTGCCCAATTTGTGGGTGAGTCTTCTGCTAGCTTCGCGAGCATGTTGCCCGCATTGCGGGCATGACGCCTGCTTTGCAGGTTTTGCCAGTTTTGTGAGCATGTCGCACACTTCGCAGGCGACTCCCCGCTTCTCAAAGGCATTTCAGTGTTAATGTTCATCCCCTGTTACTTCTGAATGAACTTGTGAATGGACTTGTGATTTACTTGTGACTAGACTTGTGAAGTACTTGCAACTGGCAAGAGGTCTTCTCAATAAATAAAAAAAGGCGACAAAAACTGACCGTCAATCCCAATCCAGCCGTTCTTGGCATTCTCCGGTATCGGCTCGTACGTCTGCACCAGCTCCTGGCACAGCTCCAGCTCCACGTCCCCCATGCCTTGCTCTTCCCTCAGGTACCTGGCAAACTCCTGCAGGGTCATGTAGCCCTTGCCGTGGCCGTAGTCCTTCAGCAAGAGGTCCACCTCCTGCCTGGTGCTGATGGTGCGGTAGAAGTGGATGAACTCGTCAAAGTCCAGCTTGCCGATGTTGTCATCCTGATTATCTGCCTCCTGTTACATGACAAACAGAAAGAACAGGTTTAGTAAATACAACAATCCAAGAACTATGTTTAGGTAGTAGAGGTATAATTGTTACAACATCTGTGCTGCTGACTGTAACAGTCAGTTTGAAGCTATTTGATGAAGTGGTTCATCAAGTAATGAGGTGGATGCCGCTGTTTCAGAAAAGCTCATACACCACACATGCCTTTCAACACCACTCGAGTGTGCTTTTGAGGTACATAGAATAAATAGAGAAATAAATTTGGGAGGCTAATCGTCCTTACTCGCAGCAGAAGCTGAATTGCACAGGACGTAGCTACATTGTGGTCAAGCCGAAGGCATGCACATGTAAATTCACCTACGGCAACCACCACACCAACCATATCTTACCACGGTGCAAAGCTAGATCGACGTTGTTGATGTTTACCAGGGAGGAAAACTGGAGGAAAACCGGAGAACCCGGAGAAAAACCGGAGAACCCGGAGAAAAACCATCGTGGCACAAGAAAGAATCAGTGAACTATCTAGTCACATATGACCTGAGCCAGGAATCGAACCTGGGCCACAGCAGTGAGAGGTAAGCGCTTTACACACTGTGCCACCCTAGCCATCCACATGTTCCTTATATTGTTACCCTTTTTCCTCGAGTGGCTTTTAGCCTTGTAATTGGCAACTAAGCTTCCTTTTGGAGGAAAAAGACAAAATCTGGAAGTAGCGGTTCTAAATCTGTATAACACTAAATGCACATTCTGTTTTGTGATGTCATGGAAAGTTTTCCAGTGGCGGTGGAACAGTTTTGAATTTTTTGAAAGTGGTGGGAAAAGACACCCTTTAACACTCCCTCCACCCCCGCGAGCTAGTTACAGTCCCACTGGCCATTACTTACAGCTGGGATTCAGAAAATATATGTGTCTGCTAAATTTATGCACTGAGCAACATCAGAACCAGTTACAATCAATGTTCATTTCCACGACATTTGCCTCAGATGTCTAGACTCCATCAATAAAAAAACACATTATTGTTGGCTGCCGTGGCTTGTACAAACATCTTTGCCTCATGTCTGGGTATGGCTGAGATATGGAGACAATTCGTTCCAAGGCTGGCTACGATCCTTTCATTTGTAACTGATTTGTCCAATAAACCAAGTTCGTGTACACATTACACATGTGAAGTCCTCAGATATGAGCGCATACCCACGCTACAGGTTGAGCTGATAAAACCTTTTATCACCATTTAGAATATTTTTTTTTGCTTGAAATTACAACTGCGACTCCTATAGCCATCTGATATTGATAAAATATTGTATGGCTGGGGGGGGGGGGGGTACTATACAAATAATGAATGTTTGTGAGTGCAATGGTAAGAATAATTTCATGAGGTGACAGATGAAATGTTCCATTCCAAGAGGCGACGCCGAGTGGAATGGAACATTTCATCTGTCACCGAATGAAGTTATTCTTTCCATTGCACGAACGTGAAACATTCATTATTTGTTTTATATAACACCTGAATAAATCCTTGTCATCTGATTGGTTGACTTTTAATAGCCAATTTATTCAGGTTAAAAACTTTTTAAAAGTTTGACAAGCTCATCATATTTATATTAATGCAAACTGTTCAACAGGTTGAGAACAATCGTATTCAATTTATCTTGATTTAAACAGCGCCACCACCAGCAGCAGTGACACAGTGCAATGGAAGTTCTATTCACAGTGCAATAGAACTTCCATTGCACTGCGCGCTGCGCGCCATGCGCGCGCTGGTACGAATAATTCAATGACATGTGATCAACGATCCACCAATCAGATGACGGGGATTTATTCAGGTGTTGTATAAAAGAATATATTGCACAAGCTATAACAATACTGCACAAGTTGAAGACAAGTCCAATATTGTTATAGCAAGTGCATATTCTGGTATCCCCTGAAAAAAACTATCAAATATTATTATTATTTATATCAGGCTAACTTGATCCGCAAGAAATAAAGTTCAAGACACTGTCTTTATTTCTCAAAGTTCGTCAAATTTTCTTTACTTTGACACAAAATTCGCGCTGCTCGAAGCTGCTGTTGTGGTTGTTGACAACAGTGAGCGTATACCCTGCTGCGCGCTGTGTTGCATGTGACAGTACCGTGCGCCACGCTCTGCTGACTGGTTGACAACTGTGAGTTTCTACACTCTGGACTGTGCGGCAACCAGCGAAATGTTTTTAGATGCCCGCATGAGGACAATATCAAAAAAATTATTGTTCTCATCATTTTTGCAGTCATCCGGGTACTTTTTACAAAAGCATATGATACTCTGATTTATTTTTACCACTGGAAGCCTGATATAATTAATAATAATATAATATTGGATGGCTTTGAGGTGGATACAAGAATATATTGCACGAGCTATGACAATATTGCACAGGTCGAAGGCGAGTGCAATATTGTCATAGCGAGTGCAATATATTCTTGTATCCACCGAAAACAAGCCGTCCAATATTATTATTATTATTTATATCAGGCTGACTTGATCCGCAAGAAGCACAATTCAAGACACTGTCTTCATTACATCTTTTTTGTTTACATCAAACGTTTTGAAGCTGCCACTGTAATTGTTAACAACAGTGCGCGTATACCTGGCCTTCTGTGCGCGGCGTGTTCCGTGTTCGACGGTACGCGTGCGCTACGCTCTGTTGAGTGGTTAACAACTGTGACTTTCTATGCCCTTGATCAAGCGGGAACCTGCGAAAATGCCCGGATTGACTACAATAACAATGTTATTGCAGTCAACTTTTTATGAAAGCATACAATATGCTGATTTATTTTTACCGCCGGAAGCCTGATATAAATAATAATTATCAATATTCGGATCTGTTCTTTCATTTGCATCATCAGTATATTACAATAAGACCGAACGATCAGTTTTGTCCGGTGTACATTTGTGACAGTCGGCTTACGTGCGCATCAGCGACAAATACAATAAACAGTACCGACTGTTGAAATATTTAAGTGCTGACTAGACTGTTGCTAGGGTAACGGCTCAGGCAAGCTTACTATTAAATAACTAGAAAAACTAGGACATTAATTCGGATGATTGATGAATGGGAAGTTGGCAATAGTCAGATGGTATTAAAGGTTTACTATCTATTTAAGTATCACATTAATCAAATAGAAATAGGTCTAACGGGAGTAGAACAGAACATTTAGGCACTAATCGGGCTGTGTTCAGAGGGTGCACTCTTGTTAATTTCTTGGTGGATTGTCTGGTGCTTAGAGGGAATTCCTTGCAGAGGTGCAGAAGAGTAGGGTGAAATGTTTGGGTGCGGCAGGTGGGGGGGGGGGTGCATCAATTTATTACGGGGGACACTATAAAGACAAATGAAACGTACCATTTCAACAGAAATGCTTTACTTTTTTCAATTCAACATTTCAAATGTGGGGGGGGGGGGGGGGAGGGCACTGATATCCGCTGGGGGGGGGGTGACACATGACCCCATGTGACCCCAATAATTATGCCACTGCCGAGGTGGCTCAACACTTCAGACAGAAATAGAAATAGGTCTTACGGGAATAGAACAGAACATTTAGGCACTAATCGGGCTGTGTTCAGAGAGTGCACTATTGTTAATTTCTTGATGGATTTGTCTGGTGCTTAGAGGGAATTCCTTGCAGAGGTGCAGTAAGAAGGGTGAAATTTTTGGGCGCCGCAGGTGGGGGGTGCCATCATTTTTTTAAGGGGACACTATTAAAGATAAATGAAACGTATCACTTCATCAGAACAGCATGTTTTAATTTTTCAATTCGACATTTCACATGGGGGGGGGGGGGCACCAATATCTGCTGGGGGAGGGGGGGGGTGAAACATGACCCCCTGTGATCCTCATTATGTCACTGCAAAGGTGGCTCAACATTTCAGACAATGGGGAGGTGGGGAGAGTGCATACATCTCTGTAGCAAGGGATGTTTGACCAATCATATCAGCAAACTGTATAATTGACATCACCGCGGTCTTGTGCTTGAGACGCATGTGTGGTTGGCAGCGTGTGATGTGGGGGAAGGCAAAATCTGGGCCCAATTTCATAACGCTGCTTAACAGTAAGCAGAAAAGCTGTGCTTACTATAGCAGAAAATCATGCTGCTGCTTAAGCACTAATTCATGCTAACGGTTGCGCACATGGAGATTTCTATTATTACGTCACTGATTTAAGCAAAGTTTTCTTCTGCGGTTATTAAAGCGTGCTTTTGCTGTGCTTACTGCTTAACGGTCCCTATGAAATAGATGGAGGCTCGGTAAGCACAAAGTCGGCTGTTAAGCAGCGCTATGAAATTGGGCCCATGTCAGTCAATGACAAATTTGGGACCGCATACACTGAAGCTAACATAAAAGTTATGACTCCTGAAGTTATAAATAGCAGCAATTATTTTTCAAAATTACTAGACATGGGGAGATTTTCCGCGGCATTTTACAAACAATCAAAAGATGAGTTCTTCACTGCTTCAGGAGATATTGTGTGTGCAGACAGACCACTGTGGAATGTTGTCAAAAATGGCCGCAACTTCAAGACATATTCCCAAAGGAAATGCCTCCACTTCCGGCAAAGTGATTCCTTCCGAGCCGCAAACAAAAATCAATCCGCTATAAATAGTACTCCATCACCAGCAGCCCTCAGTGCAAATTCCACGAGAAAATTGTGAAATCGCTTGAGCATTGCTCACTTAATGAAGCCCCCATAGATAGCGAGGCCTTTAATTTTCATCACCCGCCATGGGATATCGACTGATGACAGTGGATCTTTGATGCATATAAAAGAGTTCCAAACCCATGTCAAAATATGTTCGATCTGTCAACCGTGCAAAGTTATCCCAACAACTATCGCACCAAGAGATTGCACCAAGAGATGGCTTATTCAGTAATATGAGAAAAACTTGTGCTCTGTCCTGGGGAATTATGTAACTGTCAAAATTATAAAGTCTCCTTAGTCTCCAGATTTATTTAATTATGTTTTTTTTTTTTTGATTTACAGAAAAACTGGCCAACTTCATTTCTTTGATTTCAACCATATATCAGCTAGGGCTGTCTATTTTGGAATAATTTAGTATTCAATTACTCAAACTACATTTGACCAAATATTCAGATATTCAAAAGTATGTGCCAGCTGCAACTGTGCTCTGCAGTGTTGGAGTACTCGTACTCGTAACCGAGTAGAACTCGAGTACACACAAGTACTCGGCCCGTACTCGACTATCAGTACTCGAAAATTATTTGGACTCGGCCCGTACTCGATTCTTTTTACTCGAATTTTAGCACAGACTCGTTGGTTTGGACTCGGTACTCCGCCCCTGTACTCAGGAGTACAAATCGAGTACATTTCTTTTTTTATGGCTTCCATTGCAACCTTGAAACTCAAGTTGTAACTTTAAAATGCCATAATGAACTCTTTAGATGGATTCAAAGAACTTCAGTTTTGTTCATCTTTTATTCCTTGGTTTGCAAGATTTCATCATGAGACCTACAAGCTTAGAGGCACAGATTTCTGTGACACCAGATGTCTGCACATAGCAAGAAAATCTGGCATCAGTGCCACAGAGTCACGACATCCCCTGGTATGTATGTCATGGTCAGACACGGACGATGAACTGAACTAAAAAAAAATAATAAAAACAGGAGAGCAAGCATAGTCAGATGTTCAAAAGGAATGGGCGCATCCCTGATGACTTGTATCATATTTAGTAACATAATTGCGGGACTAATCCTTGGATGATGGAGATGAGCCTCAGCTGTCAATATGTGAATTTCCACGACAAACAGGTTAAGTGGAGAGAGGTGCACGCTTGCGACACCCTTTCAGAGAACTTAAAACCACAAACATTTTAGAAATTGGCAAGATGATCTTTTCCAAATGTCTCAGCCTGTAGCCTCCTTTTTTTACAAACTGTGGATACAGTGGCAGAACCAGGGGGTATGCAGGGGGCGGCGCCCCCCCCCCCTCCCCCTCCCCTTGGCAGTGACCAAAATTTTCTCAAATAAGGCCATAATTCACTTGAGAGAGCCCTTCTGCCGACCCAGCACTGGGTGTTAGCTCTGCATTTTTCTCACAGTTTTTTTTTCATCCTTCACAAGTGTGAAGGCTTGCCTACTACCTACTGTGCGCGTTGCTATATTTTTGCCAACTAGAATGCCGACGCTGACTTTCAGGTACCTGGATATACATGTAAACCAGGCCAGATGGGTCAGTAATAGAGCGTGTAAAAGACATTAGCGCATGATTCAGCCCATGAACCAACACGCGCGCGTACTCCATTCGTTTGCACTACATTCGTTTGCACTACATTTCTGGTTCTAAATGACATCACACTTCAGTACTCTATTGGAGTCCATCTATCCCCTGCAGCTAGCCACTCACCTTGAACAGCTGTTTGACCTTCCTCTTGCTCAGGTTGACATTGAGTTTGTGGAGAAGTTTGAGGACCTCGTCCATGCTCAGTAGGCCATCTCCGCTCTTATCTGCGGCCTCGAAGGTAGCCTTCAGCCAAGTGAAGAAAGGAGGGAATTAAGGAAAATATGCTCTTTTAAAAGCATCCTGGGTACGGTGTGCCTTAATCATAGTGCATGGTCTGTGTGCATATACAATGTACATCAAGACTCGACTGATAGTACAAGCTTATAGCCTAGAAACATGATCCGCTTTACTCACAAACTGTTTGTTATCACACACGTTATGCAAAGTTAACCTACATATCCATATACGAGTTTCAGAAGTAAAGCTTTGCATTCCATTATTTACCACGGTATGTTTACAACATGAGTCAACAATTACTGAATGGGCCATAATCAAGGGCATCAATCGCTTCTCAAAGGGGGGGGGGAGGGGGCATACCTTGATGAGAACCAATGCAAGTGCGAAGTGCCAAGCCTTAATGGCGTGGGGTTTGGGGCCCGCCTAAGGGCCCCGAAAAATTTTGGAATCTAGATGCTCTGTGGTGTGATCGGGGACAATTTCTGAACACTTTAACCATTTTTTCTTAGCAAAAGATCACTTACCAAAATCATTTAAACATCATTTTCAAATTTGGAGTCATTGAATCAGCTATTCTGAGCTATAGAATCATATGTAGGCTACAATTTTTATTTGGGGATGAAAAAAAGTGGGGGGGGGGGACAAATGATATGATATCCCCCCACTTTAAAAAGTGGGGTGGACTTGGTTCCCCCCCCCCCGGCCCTCACCTATTGACACCCATGCAGCCATGTTAGTACACAACATTCATCCGAGAACTTTATATCACTCAGTGTGCAGGTATGTGGTCAAACAATGACAGTGCAACTAGTACTTAGAAAGGAAAGCCAAGTTGACTTTTGCAGATAATATGATATCACTAATGAGCAGTTCACTCACTCCCTTCCAGTAACATTAGGCTTTCAACTTCACCCAGCCTTAGTCACCTACCCTTTTAAAAAAAATCTTGATTGGTTTTAATCGGGAAAACAGTTAAACAAAAGGATATCAATCCCTAAGCTTGCTGCTGTTGTGCCGTCGGACCTCTGACTTGACCCCCTTCAGCAGGTGTTTCAGCCCCCGGATCCAGATGGCGGTTTCTTCCTCCGTCTCCAGGATGAGATCAAGGGTGTCCCAGGAGCTGCCGTGGATGATGGAGAAGCAGATCTTGGCATGGCACCTGTTGCCAGCGGCCAGGTACTTCTTGAAGCTGTCTGTGTTGGGGCCTTGGCGTATCTCCTTGATGGAGTCTATGCTGACTGTTAAGAAAAGAATGAGTTGGTAATTGTTTTCAATGAGTACACAACATTCATAAATACTTGAGACAGTTTCTGTTTATCCATTCCAATTGGTCGAGAGCCCATCACATGTGTGGTTTTAAACGTTTGATAAAATGCCGTCTGGTTTTAAACACTTTTTTCCGGTGTCACATGAATTGGGGGTGGGACTTCTACGAAATCTGGTTTCTTTCACCCTTTTATTGGTGAAACGTTCACAATCTTCACTTAGGTATGTTTAATACTACCAATGAGTTTGTATTTTATAGTCCTAAATTCACACTGTACACTGGCACCGCTGCGTTCTGTGCCACATTCCTCAATACACGCCATGCACGTCCAATCTCCAGATAAGGAGTTGTTTACGACTATTCGCGCGAGGCACATGTACAGCTATAGGGGTGATTAAAAAAACATGAGGTGAACTTGTTGGACAAAATCATTGGAAATTTATAATTTTGGTCTTGTTTTGACTTTTTGACCCAAAACGTATTTAGGAATGGGAATAAATATGTGCTTGGCTGGTATTAAACAAGTCCGTGTAAGACCAGTTTTGGACCTGGTCACCAATAATGTCCCTCGCCTTTGTCTCGGGCCATTATCAACGTCCATTCCTCAAACCCGTCTTAAATGGACTTGTTTAAAACAGGCCTAGCACATATTCCCTGAGTAATGATACATGTACATGCAACCATCCTGTATATACATGTATTGCCTCATGTTTGTCGTTAAGGTCGGTTCATACTCAGCACTAAAGTGAATGCGAACGCATATTTGTGACGACACGGAAGATTTTTCGCGCTGCGCAATTTCGCAAAAGTTGAGTATACATTTCAACTCCAGCAAATTTTGCAGCGAATGTGTCATGAAGTCAAATTTGTTTCGTATTCGCATTCGTCTGAAGAATAAACTGGCTTTTACTTGGCAAGTTGAAAATTAAAAAGGAGTTTGGTGCATGAGGGGTAAACATACATTGGATAATATTTCAATCATAGTCGAAGGATCATGTGTCCATAAGCAATGTACTTTATGGCAATCAATGGTTCATAGACATACAACAACAAACAACATAAATCATGTACTGTACACGCACAGTACGAGTTCAATTCTAAAAATATCCACCTAAAAAAGTATTGATCTGTTCAATGCTAATTTATCTGCCCCAGGAAGCCCATTCAAATTCCCTGATGGTCTAAAATATTCATACTGTTTGAATCATTGATGTTGACTGTCCATATGATATAACCCAACCGTCCAGCATCACTGATAATAATACAAATTACTTGCAGGCAATGCAGGACTGTAAATCACTTTCCGGCAGGATGATTCTTATAATGCTAGCCTGAGAACTACTCCCATGTTGAGTGCATCACAAGGACTGTGTCATAACTGTCATCCCCCACCTCCAAGGAGCAATATACTGTAGTGTGTATCGGGTATCAAATTGATGGCTAGTCTTGTGAACAGGGAGAGCGTGGAATGAGGTGGTGTCAGGGGGACCCTCAGATCCCATCCATCAATGCCGGCCTCATCACATTGCCGAGGGGGAGCTCGCTCCCCAGGAAATGTGAACATCAAGACCCTGCTGGGGGTCCGATCATTAATGGGAAGATGGGTGCATGAATAAACAGCCCCAGAGGTTGTTTTGTTAAAGGAAGTCTGTATCATGTAGCAAGGGACGCAGACATCAAGAGGAATGTATCACGGAGGTGGGAAAGGAAGTGGGGGGGGGGGAGGAAGTGCTTGAGAGACTTAGGGTTGGGCAGTACATATCGTAGCCCGGGAATAAAAATTGAAATTGCTTAAATATTTAAAGGTCAATTTTGTCTTTATCTATCTTAAATGTAATTTCTTCTCAAGGACTCCTTTCTCTCAGAATTTTCTTTTCAGGTAACCAAGACAATGTTCTTGCACTTGCAGCATGTAGTCTCTTGCAGAATTTGAAAAACATGTACAGAGTCACTCCAAGCCAGGGGTGTAAATCCCGGGGGGGGGGGGGGGGGGGTATATATATCCTTCCCACATTTTGACTGGGGGGGGGGGGTATATATCCCTCCCACTTTTTGACTGGGGGGGGGTATATATCCCTCCCACTTTTTGACCAGGGGGGATGGTTATTGAATCATCGCCCCAACTTTTTCCTGATGAGAAAAAAAAATGTGGATTTCGAGGTATTTTTCGAACATCCCAACAACCAAAATGTATTCCATAGCACTGAAAATTGGAGAAACAAAGTACAAAAGCTTGGCACTCATCACGTGAGGATGCCACAGGTCTGCGCAGATTCAAAATAAAATAAGTCATGCACACTTCATACGCATGCGGACGTAATACCGAGACAATGTTTTTGAAGTTGTAAATGAAATATTCAGCAAAGTGAATACGAATTAACCTGGAATATTGCGGTTGAAATTTTGAGGTAGCTAAGGCCAAAAAAAAAAAAGTCTCCGGTTTCTGGTATGGAGCTTGCCCCAAAAGTGGTGCGGCGACGCGGCTTTTTTTTTTTTTTTACCTGTTTTTTTTTTTTTTTTTTGGCTTCAAATGTCGGCTGATGACTGCAAATGGTGCCCGACTAAACTTAGTGCAAATATATGGGAGTCCAGAGAGGCCACATAAATCTTATTCTCGATCATAACCCCATCTAAAAACACGTTAAAATTGTGCAGCAGCAGAATTCCAGTCAAACCAGTGAGTTTGGCGGTTTTGAAACATCATCTTGTATTGAAAAAAAAACTTTTTCATTTTGCCGACGCGCATGGCTACGGCGACGCGCGCGCATACCAGAAACCGGAGACTTTTTTTTTTTGGCCTAACGGTCCACCGCAAGCTTGTTTTCCTTTAAAACTGCATCATAAATCCGCTATTTTGTTTTATGTTTTAAAAACTTTTCGAGAGCAGATCCAACGACTCTTTGCTGAATAGTTAAGGACTATTTGCCATGTGTTGAATAAATCACCTAATTGTGCTATAATTACACCTACGAAGCGCCACACTTATGACGTGTTTTGTGAAGGGAATCGCATGTCGCACCGCTGCGATGCATTGGAAGTTACGATGAATTGCATGAAATCGGGTGCCGGATTTGTCCCCCCAGACTCAATAGAGTACCGAAGTGTGACGTCATTTAGAACCAGTAAGTGTAGTGCAAACAAATAGAGCACGTGCGAGTGTTGGTTCACGGGCTGAATCGCGCGCTACTGTCTTCTGCACGCATAGACTAACTGTGCGCGTGATGTATTCACTTCGGTACTCAATTGCAAGTATGCAGATAAATTTGTGGGTTGGAAAAGGGAGGTTTGGTCGCAATGGATGATTTGTTTCATATTACTTGAAAAGGCCTCACCTGTGACCATTTACCACTTCATGGTTATCAGATATTGGATTTTCGATACCACGTAACCACAGATTGGCATTCTCCAAGGTCCAACACCTTGCTTCCTCATTGGACAGTTGACTGGTCAGTCACACTAAAGCAGTCAACCATGCCAACCTTGTCACGTAGGCTAATAAAGGCTCTGACAGTCACGGACCATGAAAAGATGCAAACTCAGGGTTGATTGCTAGTTGGTTAAAGACTGTGTCAACAGTTAAAACTAGCTGAAGGATATTGTGTCTATTGGCTTACACAGGGCGAGTAAAAAAAAGGAAACCCAAATGTCGAGACCATTGTTTTAGTGAAGTTCTGCATGTAGCACTTCCAAAATCTAGGATATGAAAGCCCAATTCATACTCTTTCGTTTAGTACAAGAATCATTCAAATCACTTGTGGACTTTTGAAGTTACAGAATTTTAAACACAACCACCGTTTTATAGTTCTGTCCAATTTTTTTGGGGGAGCAAAACAAAAAATTTGGTTCCCAAAAAATTGGGTCTTAGAAATGACGGCGTGGGATTTCGATTCTAGATGCTCTGGGGTGGGATCAGAGGCTATTTCTGACCACTTTAACCAAATCTTTTGGAAAAAAAGATGTAGTGTTCACAGTGCCTGCCTTTATTGTTGCCCCCCCCCCATCTGCTCTTGGTACTTGATTCCATAATCTGCAGCCGATTCTTAACAATAGCAGTCGGATACTTGGGTACCCAGTTCCGATAAGCTCTTATTCCCATTCACTTTTGCACTGAATATGGTGATACATATATTTCTATCTTTTACTAGCAAGACTTTTGGATGATATTTTGGTCATACTATTTAAATGAATGACTTTAGAGTAAAAAGGTAAAAACTAAAAAAATCAAAAAAAAAAATCAGAATCAAACAACTTTCATTTACAATTTCATCCTTCCAAACCAAATGCCTACTTTATAAGCAGGTGCTAATTAGCAAAACAAATCAGTACATCCCTACAGAGTACAAGAATTCCCAGTCCCCCATAACCATGGCAACCTAACCTCCCTCTTAGCAACCAGGCTTTGGTACATGTATGTACAGGTAGATCTCTTGAGGTGACCTGATGAGGTCAGACGTTAGTGAGTATGCGTGTTGTTGGATCTGGCTGGGAGGTCTGTTTTTCCTGCCACATTTACAGGGCCAATTTATTGAGCTGGGTTTGTGTTTTGGTCTGGGAGCCTGCAGTTGGCACTAATCTGATTAGGGCGGTGGAATGCCAGCAGTCTTGGTGTTATGTGATCTGTCAGCTCATGGAGCTATAGGTCCATGGTCAGCTGAACCTTGGGGACACACACACACTACAGACACACAGCATGGCTAGAAGAAACTACAATTAAATGTAGGAAACTAAAATGGTTTCAGCAGGAAAAACTAGTGCCAATGTAGCAGGGCCAAGTTTTTCTTGTTTTCTAGTATTTATAGTGTACTGAATAGGAGTAGCTCCCCTTAGAAAAAGAAATCATTTTAGTTTTAGTTTAGATGTCCCCCCCCCCCCCTCTTCCTTGTGTCTTCCTGCAGGGCCCTGTTTGTTTACTTTGACCCAAATGTTCCCTCTATATAAGTTGCAACATGTTCTAGCCTCTTTAGCCAGCAGACCAGCAGAGACAAGTTCTATACATGTATGTTAATTCCTCCTAGTCCTACCTGAAGAGTGTTTTCCTGCTTGGGTTTGTCTGCTGTACGTTGGAGTCATTGGTTGTTAGTTCATTTCTGTATCTTTTAAAGTCATTTCCACTAGTGCTGTGTGGGTTTACCCTTTTTTGCCTTGGTTTTTATTCTTTTACCTTTAATACTTTTGTTCTGTAATTCTCCCAAAATTTTATCAAATTGTTCATTTGTTATCCTTGGCAAATTCTTTTGAGTTTTTTATTCGTTGTTTGACTCAGATTTAGACTGTTTTTTTTTTTAAGTATTTTTTTTATTTAAGGATAGAAATGGTTGTTTCGTTTGTTTGAAGATCTTTTTTATGAGACTAAATTAATTTTCTAAGAAGTACATTATTTTGTTTCCTTGATTCCTTTCCTTCTTTGTCCCAGTTTAAAAACTAAATCGCGACCTAATCATTTGAACCAGGATTTTCTTTAGTGAGCCATTTTTTGCCATTACACCAACTCCAGGGATAGATCGATATAGCTCAGTTGGTGAGTGCTGCTGTCATGTTCAACTACAAGCAGGCAGTACCCTGACCTGAAAGGACGAGGTTGGGGAAACTCTTTCAAAGTCTCCGAAAGTCACGCATGTTGCATGCTTTCCTTCTATTAAAATGAAGCCTAGTGTGCATTGGGCAAATGTAGACAAGTTCAATAAAATTTAATACATGGGAAAAGTCAAGGGTGGGGGTTCGAAACCCCCGTCCCACCCATAACCCTCTACAGTGCACAATTACAAGCCTGACATAGTATGTACATGTACATGTATGTGAATTATGTGGTAGTAAATCTGTCACAAGCCATGCGGCCCACCCAGTTTCAGAAGCATGAAACAGAGTTGTAACAAGTCAGAGTTGTGACTCGACTCGAGTCAAGTCATTTTAAAGAAGTGACTCGAGTCGAGTCATTAGGTCAAGACGGTCGAGTCGAGTCGAGTCGAGTCACAGTGTGTAGTCGAGTCGAGTCGAGTCAAGTATTTAGCTCGAGTCAATTCGAGTCACAAATATTTGAGCACTATACAATAAATAAATAAATACAAGAGAGAAAGTCATGTTTGGCTTTTTAAATGTTACATTCGGGCTACTACATGTGCATGGTGACACCACATTTGCCTCTTAATGAAAATAAAAAGGGGGTGCCATCAGCTGATCGCCATTCAACTAATGGGGACACTGATCAAACCATGTATGTATATGTATACATTCTGTATGTCATTCTGATGAGGGACTCGAGTTGAGTCGAGTCATTTGCCCTTAGGGGCTCGAGTTGAATCGAGTCACCAAAAATTGTGACTCGAGTCGGACTCGAGTCATTACAACTCTGGCATAAAACGACTCAGAACATTCCATTTCCACTCTGGATGGGATGCTAGTATAGCAGGTTAATCCCAGCTAATGCCGGTACCCATTTCTATACTCCTGGGTGGAGAGAGGAAAGTGGGGTGAAGTGGCTTGCCCAAGGACACAACATAAATGTATGACCAGCAACTGGATTAGAACCCCGACATTCTGATAATGAGTCAGGAACCACTAGGCCACACTCCCCACATGTATGTGAATTGCAAGTTCAATATCCACTCCAGTAAATTTCTCTATTTAAACTGATCAACAGTGAACCTACAGTCAATTAACTTCTCATTATTGCTCATTTAATGGTTTCTTGTGAATCCATTAACACTTATCGCTAAGAGAAGGGGTTTGCCCTGGTGTTTCTGGCAGTGGCAGCAATTATGCGCCGTAGCACCTAGCAAAAAGGTGCTACATAGTGGGTCTCATATGTTCATATACTTCATTTACCTGTCTTTGGTTGCATTCTTCCCCAGCGCTTTGTATTCTCTGGCAAAAGGCGCTATATAAATACAGTTATTATTATTATTATTATGATCTCTTTGGCTGTGCACTCGATCTTACGATATTACAAAGATTTCAGGAGCCTAAAGGGACAATGGGCCCAAGTTTTACAGTGGTGCTTTCAACAACACGTGATTTGCCGTTGAGAACTGATTTTGCCCAACTGGAACCAGAAACGTGAAGCAAACACTTCAACTCTCTCTTTGACGAGGACAAAAAAACAAAAAACATGCTGTAAGCCATTTCAGAGCACTTGTCAATTTTTGCCTTCTGCAAAAGTGAAACCTACATTTGTAGCTCTGGCCACAACAAAAACTGTAATCACGCATGTAAACTCTGGGAGCCCCAAAGGGCCAAAGCTAAAAAAATGCTGAAATTGGCCATGAAAACGTGAGATGCTCAATATACACCTGAGGACTTCCAACACATAATGCAGTTATGTTCAAACCATGTGGGCGTTAATTCGTGTCTGGAGGCAAACTGGCCTATCAGGGGCCAAAATTTTCCCCACCCTCGAAATGTCCCTACATCATGTACATGTAGGAGTTCGACATCTGAAGAATATTGTTCAGTACAAAGAAGGAAGGCTATTCATAACTTTCTAATTTAGCCATCCATGCAAGTTGTGTAAACAGATTTGTTTTATGTACATCCCAAGGTAAAAAGCCGAGGCTAGATTTTTTTTTAAAGGCTCTATTCAACAGTCTGGCACCTAGTCTTTGTTTAAATATAGAAGGGATTCCTCCATTACAAAATGTAGTAAAAAGTATCAGCGCAACTCTTTCCAATAAAGGTCTGCTTCAGAATGGTTCACTCCCAAGAAATAGTTACTTTGTAAAGTTGATTTTTTTTCCCTTCAGTTTTCTTCAGAGTGGACTTGCTCATTATCTGGGTCAATTTGGTTTTTACACCGACTTGACTTGATTCTCTTAAAATCAATTTGGTTAACTTCAAATGTGTTCTTTCAATTTTCAAAAGTGTACCTCCCAAAAACAATGCTTGGCTTTTCAAAACATTGAAACTCGGTAGAGACAAACACCTGGGCCCAATTTCATAGAGCTGCTTAAGCAGAAAATTTGCTTAAGCACGAAAAAACATTGCTTAGTAATATTAGGTTACCGGCCAAAACTCCATGTGATGTACATTGCTTGTGACTGGTATTTAGCTGTTGTTTATTTAGCATAACAATCGCATGGAGTTTTGGCCGGTAACCTGATTTTATTAAGCAAGACGTTTTTGTGCTTAAGCAAATTTTGTGCTTAAGCAGCTCTATGAAATTTGCCCCTGCGCTTCGCAGTTAATTGTTTTGATGAATGAGTGACTGGTACCTACTTTTTGCTTTGTTTCCTTTCTTGGATGGTCTCCATCGCACACAGCTCTTGTTTCCGTCCAGATAAAGGGTCTTCACTGTGCAGCGACCTGACCCCGTGACCTTGACGACCCCTGAACCCAAGGACATGGAGGTCAAACATCCTGGTAGAAAACCAAAAAAAAAAACCAACTGTTCAGATCTATCAAATAAACCCCCTGGGAAAGAATCGTATGCAAATTAGAATTACACATGAAACAACACGTAATAGACCGAAACGTTCAGCCCCACATGTTTCGACCAATCGCAGTGCTGATTAGTGATTGACATGTGTGCACAATGGATCAACAAGTGTGCCCAACAACTTTGTATCAATTTCCCACGATGGTCGGCCAACCATCATTGGAGAAAAAAAACCTGACTTTTTTTTCAAATACTGCCCCCAATTAACCAAATTTAGTTTCAAATCCACATTTTGTTTGCAGTTGGTTACACATCTGTGAATGGGTGCAAGTTAGCTAGTCTGGTTCCCTGACCTGACAAATCCCCAACGTTTATAAATTGCTCCATTTCATCCGAAGTATAGGGTCACGGAACCAGACTACAAGAACAGCATTTTTTTTCTTGGTTTTTCCAACATCTATGGACACAAAACTTTAAAACAGATCAGTATAACAATATTTGCTATAAAATACTAATCCCCAAATCCGTCCATTTCTGAAAATTACAGCAACAGTAAATGTTACCTTTAACATACCTGTTTGTTCCATAACTAATATGTCTCGCCACTTATACTAGTACATGAAACTTATGGATGATGATCACTGTTAATGGCACCAGCTGCTAATTATTACTGTGACTGTTGTCCATCAGTATGTGCAGGGATATCAATCAATAGTGCAGACATAATCAATACAGATCAACTTGAATCAATGATCCAGGCACTTCTGACATTTAAAAACGTAAATTACACACTTCTTCATAAAAGAAAAAAGTATTAATGATTGCATATATCTACGTGCATCATTTTTAGGGCATTATTGTTGTAATCAATATAGCAGTACATGTACCAGGACTTAAACCGTGTAGCAAATTTAATTAGGATTTAGGACATCTGTGATTGACAGATTTCAAAGTTATCCCTGCAACCTTTTTCTGACTTATCTAAGGTATTCATGCTTTTGTTTGCAAAAATGATTTTCAGAGCCCCAATACCGGTAGGCTCTAATACATGTAATGTTTAAAAAATCCCTGTCATTGCTGTAGGACTCGAGTCCAGCACTCGGACCCGAGTCCGTCTCGAGTCGACAAAAATCTGTGACTCAGATTCGAGTCACATTGGCAAAAGACTCGGACTCGAACTCAACCATCATGGCTAAGACTTGATGCTGATGACTCGTAACTCACGTGACCACCCCAAAGGTGGTCATGTGAGCAGAGGGATGTAGTAACAACACTGAATGAAGAGGTCGTGACGACCTCGCAAGCTACGTCCTGGTTAATCAACAGACTCTGTAAGGTAACTTTTAACTTCTATGACTCGTGACTCGTGATCGTACATGTATTTGTTTACCCCAAACTTACCTTTTAAAAACAAAATTCTGATGCTTTGTTAACAAGTTTACTTTTTCCTAAGGCCTATTGGTGGAGATAATTTTAATATTTGACCTCCTTACATGTAAAGCCCCCCCCCCTCCCCAACAAAAAACTAGAATACATGGTACATTGTACATCAACAACCAGATTAATGTCTCTTCAGTACTGAAATTTACCGCCCTTTATGAGTCTGTATAAATGCATCAACTCAAATTGTCCCTATTCAACTTGTCTATTTCTGAAAACATAATGCAGTGTAATGTAAGATTGCAATTATACATGGCTCGGGGAGCTTTCTTTGATCAACTTCAATCCCATGAGGCCCTAAAGCTCTAACGTTAAGTGCTCCCCAGCCCACCCTCATCAAGAGAGGAAATCTCTCAAAGATAGCGACGACGAAGACAGAGGTATCAGAATAATTCCTGAAGCCTAAATCGTGAATTGGCAAAGAGCTTCTGAATCAAAATTCAACAGTAAGAGGCATCATGACTCCAAGGCAAACAAATGTATGTCTGTACATATCGGATACACTGTACAATTCTCTGGCTGAGAAGTAGGACTATACAAAAAGTGGGGCAATCGGGGTTAAGTGGAGCTTTTTTTTAGCAGGAAAAAGGTGTAGCTAGTGTAACTTCTTTTTTGTTTTTACAGGCATAAAACCTGCGGGCCTGTTTTACAGTTTAAGGAAAACTTGGACAATTTTTTTGGGGAGGGGGGGGGGGCGCATCCCCCCACTATTGTCAGGTCCCAAAGTAGTGTACTCTGGGCTCTATCCACTCCGTTCACAAGTACCCCCTCACCGGCAAAGAGAGTACAGTTGGGGGTGACCGACCGATGCCATCTTGCCTGACTGCAATATTTTGCCGCGAAGCGCGGCCACTGCGTGTACATAGTACAAATCCCCTGGTCTACGTGCGTCACACACAAGGAACGGTGTGCGTCAACCAGTGAAATGTCCCACCCATGGGACGTCGTTGCTAGGTAAAGGGCGCCCTCTTTCGTCGGCGCATGGAGCTCATATCTGGTTAGCCTAATCATAAATAATAAGTTCTCTAGGTAGTCTACCGTCTCTGGAAATAACAGGATACCATGATCACTTATGATCTGATCATTGGAAAGGCTTACATACACTGCACTTGCTTTGGCTGAGTGGTGGTATTGGGGGCGAAAGGAAGAATATAGAAAAAGTGCACCCGCTATCGACAAATGAGGTCCTGCCCCCTCAACTTTTCAAATTTGCTACGGCCTGACAGTGCTTTGGCCCCCCCCCCAAACATTTGAAACTGTTCTGCGGCTTTTCAACTTCCGAATAAAACCCTGATAAACAGTTTTATCTTCAAGCATACTTGAATCTTCAATTCTGATTGGTTGATCCATGGCAACTACAGTGTGATATTATTGTTATACCATATATCGCAAGATATCCCAAGATGCGAGCGACATTCCAGCTGCATGCGCTAAACCGCTAATAGGTTCAAGTAAAGTGTGCTAGTTCCAAATGTGCATCGATCAAGTTTGCTTGAAGAAAAATGCGTTATCGCTTGTAGCACATGGAAAATGTAGTGTGTCTGTGTCCCACATATTTGGCATCGTGGTATACTAGACTCAGACACACTACATTATTCCGCCGTTACACTCCGTTCTGACCCTGTTCACTATGATTTGTACAGGTTAATATGTTCGCTTCACTATTGATAGCTACATCAGGGGTGTGAGTGACCACTGTTAAAAATAGCTGAAAACAGCTGGAAAAAGGTATAAAAAAGCTGAACTTTGGAAATCTCCTATACTTTTGTACACAGCAAGTGAGGAAAAAAGCTGAAAAAAAGCTCAAATCCACAAAAAAAAAAGAAGCTAAAATCAGCTTTAAAGCTGAGATTTCACACCCCTGCTACATGACAGGTCTCCATAACAAGGACATAAAAGTGACGATGAAGTAAGACATGAGACGTGTACAAATCTTAGTCCTGCTTTTCTGACCTTCCAAGGCCACTTGTCGAAATTCTTCACCTCTCTGTTTCCATAAAAAAAGGTCAAGGCAACAGAATCAGGACTCTCCTAACCAGGCCAGGTCACCTGATGACATCAGCATTTTCCTCAGTGCACCAAGGCATCTGGTCCAGACCTCAGGCCTTGCGTGGCTTCCCCGATCTGTCTCTTTCATGCCTCTCTCCTTCCCCACGGCCTCATCAGGTTCTCATCTCTCCCTCAGATCCCAGAAATTGCAAATTGCAAGGAAATTCTTCAAATATAACCTTGACGATCCTTTCAGTTTGCTTTATAAAAATAAGGCAAAGAAATCCCTTCAAAGTATGAAAAAAGCTCCCAAGAAACTATTCCCCAATGTCCGACACTGAGCAACGAGGCATCTAACTTGATGTGACAACTCAGGACATGATCTCTGGGACGAATTAAGCCTAATGCTGACCTCACTGCCAAGACCAATTTGCCAACTGCAAACGGTTCTATTAGGCAAGGGGACATGCAGCTCTGTCTGGGCTGCGGGAGTGCCCATGAACTTCTCTCTGCAGTCTGAACTCACAAATTGGCCTACATGGACAAAATTAGCTTTTGCAAACTGGAAAAGTCTGTTTCGCAAAGCCATTAGACCAATGGCATAGACTATGAACTGCAAACCAATTTGCAGAAGGCACTGGGGGAGGAGCTTTATTTTCTGCAGGGGGTAAAATCTGAGGTAGACTAGGGCACAAGGGGGGCACAGGGCAGGCCTAGAGGTGGGGGAGGGAGGGGGGGGGGGTTGACAGCAAGCCACCCTGCCCTTCCCCTGGTTACACCACTGTGTCACAAACTGTTTGATTCCTGAGTTTGGTGCAATTTTGTTTGGTAAACATGCAGCTCAGTACAATGATTTTAATTGGATGTAGCATTCAGCGCATTTTTTTTCACATGATCTCTCACGTTATTCCAGACATATAGATTCTGACAAGGGATATGACTGAAACACCATTCATAAATACCTGAGACAGTTAACCCATTCCAATTTGTTGAGAGCCCATCATGTGGCTGGTAATTAAACGGTTGATAAAACACTGGTTTTAAACACTTCAATCCTGGCACCACTGAGTTCTGCGCAGTACGCGCCATGCGCGCGCAATTCTCCAACATAGGGAGAGTTTTTAAAACTACTCGCAGGAGGCATATACTATAAACATAGCTAGAGGGGTGTCTCAGAAAAGCATACATGTACAGTAAAATTGTAGAACAAAATCTTTGGAAAGTTGTAATTTTTGAGTATTTGACCGAAAGGCATACCAATGGAAATAAATACAACCTATGTGCCTGGCAAGTATCAAACAAGTACATTAAAAAAAACTGGCTAGGTCACAGACAATGGCCCTGTTTAAAACCAGCCAAGCACATATTTATTCCTTAATAAGTACTGGTACTGGCATGTAAATGGGGCTATAATTCCAAAACCAAATATTCAGAGAATTACCGTGATTACCTGATGTACTAAAGCCTGTCTTTCGGATCGATGACAAAATATGCAGAGAATCCACTTCTCAGAACTGAGTGATGGAAAGTGCATGTGATCAGATGCAATGACACCAACCACAAGAATGTCATCCATTTTTATGTCAGGGAATCGTCACCTTGACTTGAAAACCAGTTTTAATACTGTACAACGACCTAATCACCATTTTGTCCAGACGTCCCATTTGGTCATCAGATTTTGTTAGAGACCATGCAACTGTTCAATAAAATATAAAGTTACCCTTTATCACGCTACACCAACCAGACCAAAACAGTAGGAATACTAGTTTAGTGGGGGTAATTTACAAATTATCTCACAGTGTGTGGAATTAAGATCTGTTCAGTCATTTTGACATTACATGTACATAGCTTGGCACATACATGTATAGGCCTATCCATGTGTATGGTAATGTGACAGATTGTTTTTGCTGGACGCCAAGGACAAACCTGAGTCACTAGTTAAGTGACTGACTGTGGACCACTGAAAACAGTACATTATTTTAACATAAAGACATGCACAATATGTTATGCCGAAACTGGTCATGTCTGTTTCTCACAGGAATTTGGTTACTATATGTGAATTTGTCATAATAGCTAAATTCAAAGGCCTAATTTGATATGTTCAGAAATTACATTTTCTTGTGAAAGGGGAGGGGAGATCTGCTTATTTAACCGCTGAATTAACTTTGTTTAAAATAATGAAAGATCAAGTTAATACTTCAGAGTCTAAACATCTTTGTGTCTGCCAACTTTTATTTCTTCAAACGAAATCAAAATGTTCACAAGCGAAGAGATTCTGGGTCACAGGGTCAGTTAAAGTTTGCACGTTTACAAACTTCTGACGGATGGTACCCTAGACTATTGTCAGTGTGGCACTGAAATAAAGTGGAGCTAAGGTGGGGGGGGGGGATGAAAATGAAAATGTAAAAAAAGGTTTTGTGCGTGAATTATATGGGTGTCATTGAAGATGCTACATGGTGTGAAGCACATGGTCGCGTGCAGGATTAACCCTAACTCCCTAGGGGGTGTGCAAAATCGTATTAAAATTGGAGGATTAAGGACTGTTAGCGATTTGTATGATAGAACAAAGTGAAGGCAGATTCTTTTCTAGAATTGTCTTTCAATACCGGACTAACATACCGGTACATGTTTAAATAACGTTTATAGAAACAAGACAGTGTTAAAAAGTTTATTTTAAAAAGGATGTTTCTTTAGTGACAGCATAGCTCCATGGTGACAGTTTTGCACCTTTTTCAAGAGAGGCATTGCACACAGACCATCATTGGCACTCAGCTCACAGACCCCCCCCCCCCCCCCCCCCCTCTGAGCTCTCATAAACAGGTGTCCAAGCAAAGGACAGCAGAACATCCAATGATTACGGCCCGGCCTGTTTATTTCACTGTCCACTGGTCAGAATCTCCCATGAGTGGGAGACCAAATGAGGAAGGACCTAGAAAATGTGTCAAATCTGTCGCACTGCCCCTGGCCGTTTTGACGCCACAACCTCCAAAGGGCGCGCTGAAATAACTTGTGAGGTCAACCATGTGCTGTGTTGACAAGCGTGCACGTGCGCGAGCTGTAAAAGTGGAACAGACCTTGTGCGAGCTGTAAAAGTGGAACAGACCTAATATTTGCAGATCCACCTTGTGCATACATTTGCAAGGTCACTGGATGGTCGCAGTGGTTTTAACCATCGCAGGATTGAAATAAAGGAACAGTACTGGAAAGGAACACTCTAGACAAAATACCTTTTGAACGTAATATATCATTAAATCAGGTTTTCTCACTTACATGTAGATGTATCTCTACATTAACAGTCGTGCTTAATGTACATGTTCAAAGGCCTGCATCTACTGGTATGAAGTCACTGTTTCATGAAAAGATGAATGTAGTGTCACAAATATACAGGTATTTTTGTGACATCTGCCAAGATGTGATTGCCTTAACTTTTGCAGTGAAAATAAAGTTAGGACAAAACAATGGTACATGTGGTAAATAAAAGGCACTCACTTGCGATATCTCCATCATCCATGTCCTCATCTTCTTCGCTAACACTGTTCTCAATCCAGCTATCCGTGCTTCCAAGGGAACCACTGGTACCAAGCGTCCTGTCCATACCCAGCTTCCTGGGTCGTGGAAACCGGGGAAGCCAGACGTCGTCGGAGTCTTCGGAACCGCCTCTGCGAGGGGACTTGATGTCCGGCGTCCGGCAGCGCAGGTTGCCATTGTTTGGGCAGGACTCCAGCTGGGGGTTGGAGTTGAAGCCACTGTCCTGCTCGTCCGGGGAAAAGCCGTCGGAGAGCTGTCGAGGGTTCGATCCTTGCCGGCCGGAGCGGTAGCTGGCAGTCCGCTCCTCCAAGATGGAGTCTTCTGACCCACCCAGGGAGGCGATGGAGCGGGTGTAGTTGGAGCAGGAAGAGTCTGAGGAATCCAAGCGGATCTGCCGGGTCAAGGAAGCAGGCTCCATGGTCTCAGGATCTGGAATGAGAACGAAAAGGAATGACAGGGTGCATTCGAGCGTGTTACTCTTGCTACTCCCGAGTGCAGGAAAATGTTACGTGCGCATTACTCTCGGTGCAGGAGTATACTCCCGGTATGAGGGAGGGCATACTCTTGCTTACCCACGGGTCGTACTCCTGCCGTTCGTGCGCTCAGGAGTATACTCGCGCTCACACGAGTAGCACGCTCAAACGCACCCATAGAGTCTGCCGATTTTCGCAGGCTCATGGGGGTGTACGTGTTGGCAACATCTTGCAGATGCAACGTTGTTTGAATTAGGAGCTTGAATTCGAAGCTCCAGCCATCCCAAATCTTCCACAACTCCTCGCATAACAGCCCTCTCAGAATCTTGAAGTTTGGAGAAAATTGATTGCGGGAGCCGCGAGGTTAAAAAAAGAGTTCTTCAATTCTACATAATATATGAGGTTGTTAGAATAAGCATCCAGTCAGAAATTGAGAACTGATGTAATCTACCATTAATTTTGCAGCAAGTCAAAACTTGAATGATCAATCAAAATGCCGGAAGTAATCTAACTTTAACCAGTGCACGCTGGGATTATTTTGACATTGACTGGACCCAGGTGCCGGATTATTTCACGAACCTCGACGGGTTCAAGCCGTCATCTGTGGGTAGCACACCCTGATGATATTTCCGTCCTCGCTTGCTGCGAGTGGGTCGCAGACAGATAATCCGGCCTTGCTCGTTGTGTGTTTATCCGTTATCCATTCCGAATACCACAATTCCGAATTCCAAAAACCTTTCATCATCCGACGTGAACTGGTTAACTGAAACTACGTAAACCAACTGTGCATGCAAGAACATTTTTTTCCCCCAGGAAAAAAAAAGTGACCAAGAAGTAAGACAGAAAAAACAATCCAAGATTAGACAAATCCTCACGATTCGCAGTTGACCATGTCTATATTTCTAGTCGATGGAATATCCCCTTGCACAGCCATTGGTCTATGATATGCAAGCAGATTGGACAATAAATTATGCAAAACAGGACTGCATCTTGATCTCCAGATTCTGACCACTCAGCGGGCGCCTTCTATCGGGTCTTTAGCAATCCATTGTATAACAAAAAATTGGCAGCCAAACTGACCAATCAACAGCTTATTAATCCACATTTTTGACTGAAATGAAGTCACATTTCTGACTGAAATGAAGTCACATTTCTGACTGAAATGAAGTCACATTTCTGACTGAAATGAAGTCACATTTCTGACTGAAATGAAGTCACATTTCTGACTGAAATGAAGTCACATTTCTGACTGAAATGAAGTCACATTTCTGACTGAAATGAAGTCACATTTCTGACTGAAATGAAGTCACATTTCTGACTGAAATGAAGTCACATTTCTGACTGAAATGAAGTCACATTTCTGACTGAAATGAAGTCACATTTCTGACTGAAATGAAGTCACATTTCAGACTGAAATGAAGTCACATTTCTGACTGAAATGAAGTCACATTTCTGACTGAAATGAAATCACATTTCTGACTGAAATGAAGTCACATTTCTGACTGAAATGAAGTCACATTTCTAAAGTTGACTCCGATTGGCTGGCTGGCGCGCGTGGTCACATAAAACTTGCACGCTCACATCAATCAGATGTTGCTACGGAACGGGCTCCATTGACAACGGATGAGTCTATTTCTGTATTAATTCAAATGTCAAAAGCACAGCATAGCTAATTCAGAGAAGTCAAGGCTCCAGATGCAGTTATTCTCCATTAAGATTCATTAGTTTTGACACCCAATATGCTGAATAAAACATTGTGTCTCTTCTACCCAATTTTATTCCACGTCTAGTCATTGAACTAAGGCCTATGCTTTGAGGGTCAATTGGAGGGATGATTCACAATATTATTTATGTACATATGTATAAAATATTCAATAGGTTCACCCGGCTGGGAACCTTTCGCTCTTCCCCCCCCCCCCCACCCGTAACGCATCTTGATTCACAAAGAAAATACTTGTGCTTGGATGACACCGTAGACTATTTTCCATACAGAGGAGCTCTCAAACACAGCCCAATGGGCTTTATTCACGAGTCGGCCATATTAAATTGAAAGTTCTAAGGTAAAATCTTAATTTTTGGAACTTGCAAAGAGAAATGAATGAAAGTTAATTTGGAATAAATTCCAGTCTGCTTCGATGAATAATTTAACATTTGTAATTGGACATTCCCTAATGTTTAAAGCCATATTTAAAAAAAAATTACAGTAAAATAAGGCCACATTGTGCCTGCATTATTAGTCTGGCGCCATCCCATTCAACAGTTAACAATTAATGAAATACATTCAGGGAACTCGACAAAAATGGCCAACTCGTGAATAAGGCCCATTTTATGGCTCTGCTAACCACAGAATTCCGCACTTACGATCACCATTTTGTGCTAACCGCGCTAGCAGAAAACTTTTGTGCTAACCATGTAAGCACAGAATCCATAGCCAAAATTCCTTGCTAACAGGTGAAATACACTTAGCATAACCACAGAATTTACTGCTATAGTAAGCAGGGAATTTTCGATAACTGTAAGCAGAGCCAAGAAATTGGGCCCTGTTGTGTTGAGCCTTCCCAATTGACATGTTCCTATGTTGAATGCCTACTGGTATGCATTCTTTACACTATATGAATGTTGCATTTTTTAACCGCGCTAGCAGAAAACTTTTGTGCTAACCATGTAAGCACAGAATCCATAGCCAAAATTCCTTGCTAACAGGTGAAATACACTTAGCATAACCACAGAATTTTCTGCGACAGTAAGCAGGGATTTTATGCTTAACTGTAAGCAGAGCCAAGAAATTGGGCTCTGTTGTGTTGAGCCTCCGCAATTGGCATGTTTCTACGTTGAATGCCTACCGGTATGCATTCTTTACACTACATACATATAAATGTTGCATTTTCTCGCTTCCGTCAAGGTGATATATTTTTTTGGCTGACTTGACAAACATGATCTTACAATTTCAACAAATTTCATTCTGGCCAACAACTCCCCTCCCCCCCCCAAAAAAACCACCCCCCCCCCAAAAAAAAATCTTCAAGCAGTGTGCTTCAGTACTGTTCAAGGCACATCAGGCCATGAGTAGAAGTTTTGGGTACATCAAATAAGAAACGTTTTGGTTTCCAAGTCTCCACGTTTCGACGGACGGCATTACATTTTGCTGCGGCATCATCGACAGCCAGGCAGGAGCCAGTAAATTACCTACCCCCAGGTTCAAGGAGACCATTATGACACGCATCATTAACCCCACAGTCTGAGAGAAAAGAGGAGAGGGGGGGGGGGGGGATACGACCAAGGTCGTTGATGTTATCTATTTTTTTTTTTAACGAAGGCACTTCAGACAGGATGCGGTCTATATTAACGTTCTTGCTGCAATCAGCATCCATGATCAGATGGGTTGGGCGATACAAGCTCCGAAATTAAACCCAGGACCGCAGGATTGTTATACATCGAGATTTGATGAAATTGGAGTTGACTTTTAGACCTCAGATCTGATGGAACAGGTTTGGGCTCTGTAGACTGATCGAAACATCATTAGCTGTTTAGATCTCTAAATTAATCTAATATTGTTAGATTCTTCAGTACCAATTTCCGTGTGTAAATCTTACTTGGAGTTTGTGTACACATAACAACTTAGGGCTCTGTTATAGTTTTAAGCATTGGTGCATGGGTTCAGAATCCATGCATGCGCAGTTAGGGAGAAAACCCTGCAAGTTATAGGTCGGATGTGGGACAGAATAAAGTGGTTGAAAGAGACAAGGATTTGTTTCAATCTTAACTAATACCCCCCCCCCCACCTGGCACTGAATAATTAATTTATAACAAAGACAAAAGGAAAAAATCGAAACAAAAAAGCCTTTTTTAAGCATACTTTTATTTTTTAATTTTTTTTTTTATAAAAGTAAAGTCTGTCACGAGCCAATACAGCTCATCAGGCCAGCGTTTATCTCCGGTTTCCTTTTACCATGAACCGACCTAGGATATTTCCTATCCCTGCTGGATGGGATGCCAGCCCATCGCAGGTTACTCCCCAGCTAATGCCAGTACCCATTTATACTCCTGGTTGGAGAGAGGCAAGTGGGGGTAAAGAGGCCTGCCCAAGGACACAACATATGGCCAGCAGCTGGATTTGTATCTTGAGCCACAAACCCTAACCACTAGGCCAAACTCTCCCTTTTATAAACTCAACGATTAATTTTGGTGAAAAGTTGCAACTCCCTAAATTGCATCCAATGATTTGGAGGGGGAAGAGTCGAAGAGAACTATTATTTTTTACTTTGTAATTAAGCAATTTCATAGGAGAAAACCACAAGTAAACAGCTTAATATCTAATTCTAAAAATTATGGTTGGAAGTTGTACCTTTTTTGAAAATGTATGTCAATTTATGGAAAGTTACCCCATGAAACTGTTACAATTTCTTTGTGGTTAGAATACTTAATGCATTCATTATCATTGTTATGATAATTACATGCATAAGTAAAATATGCAGTGCTCTTTAAATATACACCAAGCCAGGCCCATATCTCTGCATGTGATGGGCATTTTTTTGTGATTAAGCAATTAGGCAATATTGGTCCGGTAATCTCCAGCGGTAATTAGTCAAACAGTGACCGTGGGAAACAAATATCTAAACTAACCAACTCATCAGAATATGTGCTGTTTTCAGGGAAAAACCTAACAGCAGGGTCTGACCAAAAATGCTAGATACATATATGTAGACAAATGATAGATCAAAACACCTATCAAGGAGAAATTAAATTCTTGAAAATCTTTTGTGTTGCTCTATGATATGAGACAACAATCTCAACAAATGAAGAATGGTTAGTCATCTCTCTTTTGAAAATATAGTTATTTAAAACAAATTAATTGGTAAACTCCTGGAAAGGGATAGAAATCTGTCAAAGATGGCGTGAGCTCATGGTCAAAGTGTTACAACCGACAAAAGGACATACCAGTACATAATTTAATTC